ATTTTTTTTTATACAATGAAGTACTACTCTGACATAAAGGATAAACTTGAGTTGGCTTTAGGTAACTAGATGGACCTCGAGACCATAATCTTAAGTCAAATAAATCAGACATACAAGTTTAAATATCACATTGTTTCTCTTGTATGAGAAACTCAAAGGGTAAATGAGAAACGTAATGGAGGATAGACACTGGGAAGTAGGAAGAACATGTTCAAATGGGAAGGGGAACAAGGGAAGAATAGGGGGAGGAAGGAAAGGAAAAGAAAAAAGAGAAGGAAGAAAAAAATGGAAACAAAGTTGTCTTGTAAATGGAGAAGGGAAAAGAGTTGAAGGAAGGAGAGGGAAATGGGAAAAAAAGAAGAATTGAGATATTTTATGTACAGGTGCAAATTCCCTACCATGAATGTGATCATTATGTATGACAAATATGCAGTAATTTTTTGAAAAGAGGAAAAAATCGTACTAAAAAAGAACAAGGGTCCCTGCCCTGCTGTGTGGGTCTGGACAGACGAGCCCCGGCTTCACAAGGCACAAAAGCCCAGGAACATGTGTGACGCCCTCACCTAGTCCGCTGAGGGGCACCCACCCTCTCTTTTTCAAGTTTGTGCACTCATGTGTTTTTCAGACTGCAGAAAAGCGGTACGGGAACATTCTGTGTGGGGTCCCTGCTGGACAGAGTGCTGAGTGCTTTCCTTGTTCCCTTTCCTCATGCTGTGCGCCTCTGCGCTTTCTCGGCGTTCCCGGATCACGGGTGCTGGCTGCGGGGTAACTCGTCCTGTGAGAGCAGGAAGCTGCGGGGTTAACTACAGGGGGGCTACAGACGGATGGGTCCACCAAACACACCGTCAGAGCAGGGGACGTCACTGGCCTTGCAGGGAGGAAGTCTGACACGGTGCTAGGGGGCTGACCCTGAGGACTGGTGGGGTGGAATAACCCAGTCAGCACGTGACAGATACGGCGTGATTCCCCCTACGTGAGCTGGCTACAGGAGGGGAACCAGAGAGACCGAAGCAGGACAGGTGGGAGCCAGGCCAGCAGGAGGAGAGGAACAATCCTTGTGGTATGGGGAGAGACTCGGTTTTCAAAATGAAGAGTTCTGGATCTGGCATACTAGTACAACCCTGTAATCCCAGCACTCTGGAGCTGAGACAGGAGGATCGTGGCAAGTTCAAGGCCAGCCTGGACTGCAGAGCAAGACTCTGTCTCAAAAAAAATTAAATGAGAAAAGAAAAGAGTTCTAGGGTAGACAGTGGTGGCAGCTGCACAATTGGAGTGTGCTTAACAATAGCAAGCCATTCACTTCAAAATGGCTATAAGGATAAATTTTATGTTCTGTGTCTTTTATCACAATTAAAAATAAAGAAAAGCTAGGCATGGTGGCACACACCTGTAACCCCAGCTACTCAGGAGGCTGAAGCAGGAGGATCACAAGTTCCAAGACAACTTGAGCAATTTAGATCTTGTTTTAAAACAAAAAAGGGCTGGGTTTGTAGCACATGGTAGAGCACTTGACCCTCACATGTAGAACAGTAAAAATTCACTAACATAGGCACTCAGTTCATAAGCAGGCGCCCTCTACCTTGAAAAGGTACTGTCCTGATCAGTGCCTTTTCTGCTCCTCTGGAAACTGGGGTTTTAGTAGCAACTATCTCAGAGAAAGAGCCAGGCAGTCGGTGCTGTCAGCATGCAAGTGAACACAGCTGTGTTCCAATAAAACTTTATTAACAAGCAGCAGGCCATCATTTGCAGCCATGTTGTAGAATATGGAAGGAGGACAGGAAGTAACTCATGACCAGGCCTAACCACGAGAAGCAGAGCCTGCCAACTGTTGAGGTGATTACAGAGAACAATGCACCGAGTCACAGGCTCCCGCCTGCCCAGCGTCATGAAGGAGCCCGATGCACTGAGGTGACGCCCGCGGCCGCGCCCACGGCCCGGCTCCTACCCAGGGCCCAGCTCTGCTCCTGCTGCCTGTGTGCTGTGCTCGGCCGCTGCCGCCCTCCGTGCTTGGATCCCTGTCTGTCACACGGAGTCTCAGTGGCATCCACAGCAGATCCACGGCTCAAACAAACGCTTGAAGCCACGAGAGGTTGGAATCATCTGACACCTGGCCGCAGTGCCTGGAGCAGGTGCTTTGTTCTGTTTAGTCAGTGCGCCTGTCCCCTGCCACACAGGTACAGCCTGGTGGGAGGAAGGGAAGGAGGGGCAGGCACAAGGCCCCATGCTGCGGACCCTGCCCCGAAGCGTGGGGCGCCGCCCGAAGCACTGCGCGTGCGCGATCGTGGCCGTGGCGGCGCCGTTCCTGACCCTGTGGTCCGCGCGAGTCCTGGAGCAGGCTGGAGGTCGTGCTCCCAAGCGCTGCGCCTGTGCTTGGCCTGGGTCCCCGCCAGCCTGGCCGGAGCACATGCTCAGTAAACACTGATTGGAGGAAAGAATGAGGTAGTGAATGTGTAGGCTGGGGAAACTGAGGCATCGGGGGCTGGGGTGTCGAGCAGACCCTGAGGCAGAGCTCTGACCGCACAGCCGTCCTTGTCCCTTGGTGCCGCCTTGGTGATGCAGTCGTGCTTTCTGTCCTCTGTTTCGTCGTCGACTGAGCTCTACCTCCCCGGCTTTTGGGGCGGGGATAACCGGGCCTTCGCTGAGCTGCATCCCCAGACCTGTCTTATTTTTTATTTTGAGATAGGGTCCCGCTAAGTCGCCAAGTTGCCCCGGCTGGGCTTGAACCTTGGGTCCTCCTGCCTCAACCTCCCAGAGAGCTGGGATGGGAGGCGTGCGCAGACACGTGCGACCCCGCCAGCCCTCCGGGGCCCTGGACGCAGGCCTGACTCGGGAGGGAAAGGCCAGGCCGGTCCCGCCCAGAACACACAGCCCCACCCGCCCGCGCTCCCCACTCCGGCCTGGCCGGTTCTCACCCTGCCCTGGCGGGCTGGTCTGGCTCTCGGACCCGCCCCGGCCCCCCGCCCCCCGCTGCAGCAGGGGCGCCCCAAGCTGCCGGCAGCTCGGGACCTGAGGCTTGGTTGGGCGGCCCCTGTGGCTGTCTCTAGGTCACTCGTCACTGTTGCCGCTGGGCCGCCCAGGCGGGCCACACCGTGAGGGCTCTCCTGCTGCCCCAGGAATCCCAGCCTGAAATCCAGCCACATTCCTGCCTCAGCCTCCAAATCCAGGTCCAATCAGCAGCCACTCCCCACACCCCCTCTTCTCCTGCATCTTTCCTCCAGGGTGCTCACCACACCTGGAGCCCTATTGACACGTGCCTCCACCCACCTATGACAGTATCGTGGAGTAGGACCTCACCTGCCTCCTCCGTCCCCAGCACTTACGGCAGGCCTGGCACGCAGGAGGAGCTTAAGTATTGCCAATGACAAGACCTCAGGACCGCATATCCCACTCTCAATGCTCAGAATGTTATTCCTGGCCTCGTCTTCATTAGAGAACTTCTATGCATCCTACAAAACCCCATCCAGTTATCGTTTAACCAGAGACCGCTCCTTTGCCTGCCCCATACACACACATCAGCCAGGCTGCAGTGTTTCCCTGGGATACACAACGTCCCGTGCTGCCTCCATTACTGCATGTGTCATCATGAATAATGGCCATGCATGCCACCTCCATTCCGTCCACTTCTTGGGTAAGACTCTCCTCTGAGGGCAAATGGGAAGTGACAATTAGGCGCAGGAACTACGCGTGGAATGAGTAAATTACATGTCTGTGCGGGTGGAGACATCAGTCTGTGACCCCTCCCTGCCCTACCACGGGCCATGGCTCCCGCTGCTGGTGAATGCCCCCTTTCTCTGTGTGGTCACCCGGCCAGAGGTGATGGAGGAGGGAGGACGTGCGGGGAGTCCTAAACAAGTCCTGTGGAGAGCTGCATGTGGTACCTGGTGACCCAGGGAGGAGAGGAAGCTGCAGGAGGCACCCAGGGGCTTGAGGGGACCAAGGACAGGGCGGGCTGAGCAGGAGGGGCAGGCGTGGTCTAGGAGAGACACGGCTTCCTGGGGCACAGGCAGCTGGGCGGGGGAGCGCCCCAGTGCTCTCAGCTCCCCCACTGCTACTCCAGGCAGGCGAGCTGTGTGCGTGGGCTCAGCCTGTGGAGCCTCCTGTGGGACCCCAGGAGAGGGCCCGGGCCCGGCCTCCCCCTCAGACCCTATGCCTCTGAGTCACTCCTTTCCCGTCCAGACCGGAGCCTGTGTGTCAGGCCTCTGTGTCACAGCCCAGCCTCGCAGTGACCCTGGCTATGCACCTCCCCGCTGCAGCCTTTGTGTTCCTGTGCCTGGACTGAGGCCTCGGGGCTCCCATCCTCCCTCAAACCCTGATCTAGACAGGACAGAGCTCAGAAACCATTATTGGCCTGAGGTGACAGAGACCCAGAGTGACAGAGCTGGCCGGGGCTGAGCCGCAGGAGCTGTGGTCCCTCCCGTGTCACCCCCTCGGACATGCCTCCTCCCGGCACCTGCCTGTCAGGCTGGCCCTGCGGGCTCAGCGCCCCTTCTCGAAGGCTCAGTGCCGACCTGGCAGCTCCGGCCCCAGCAGTGACCCCTGTGCCCATCACTGCACCAGGGAGAAGCCCAGGTCCCTGCCGCCACTCACCCCGACCTGTCTCCTTTGCAGTGTCCTGTGCTACCCTCCCGGCCTTGCTGTCCTCCCTGGACAGTTGGGGTCCTGCAGCCCAGGGAGGCTAAGTGACTTGCCCATGGTCACACAGCCAAAAAAGGGCAGGGCGACAAAGTGAACCTCACAGCCGGGCGGGCCTCGTGGCACTCTGGGAGTCTGAGGCAGGAGGACCGAAAGTTGGACGCATCCTGGTCGACTGACTCAGCACCCTAGTGAGACTCTGCACAAGAAATAAAGATAGATATTTTATAAAGGGCTGGGCATGCAGACCAGTGTGAAGCCCTGGGTTCAATTCCCAGTATTGAAGAAAAAAAAGTGTCGCACCGGGTCGCATGGAAGTACTCAGGTCTACAGCATATTATAGCATGGCTTCAACCACGTCCCCACGACACCAGGCCTATCACTCAGCCTGAGCGTGCCTCAGTTTCCCCATCTAGAAAACAGAACAGGACCCATTTCATAGCATGCTGTGAGGGCCATGCCTGCACACACGTGTTGATCGCATCCTGAGGAGACAGGAAATCCGAGCCTCACCCCAGGGGCAGAGCCGGATCCCCCTTTGTCCAGGGACCCGGGAGGCCCTGGCGGGCGGAGCTGGTCAGGCAGGGACAGGGTCGCGCACACAGGGGGTCTCTGTGAGGGACGGTGGCCAGGCCCAGGAAACCACACTGGCCAGCCTTGGGGGCAGAGGTGAGCTCTTGAGCCAGCAGGGCCCTCAGGGGAGTCCGGAGAAGGGAAAGCGCTGTAGGGAAGGGCTGGGCCCGTGTGTGCCTTGTGGGCACCTACTGAGCCAGATCCCGGGCCTGGGGGCAGAGGATTAAGGAGGGAGCTTTCTGAAGAAGAGGGGGAGACAGGTGAGGGCCAGGCCAGGAGGCTGAGGGCCAACTGTGGACAAAACGGTCCTCGGAGGAGGTGGCAGTGCAGGGCCAGGGGACCCCGCTGCAGGTGTTGGGAGAAGCCAAAGACAGAGCTTTGAACCTTGGTGGCACACACCTGTAATCCCAATACTCTGGGAGGCTGAGGCAGGAGAATCCCAAGTCCAAGACCATCCTGGGCAGCTGAGCAAGACCTTGTTTTAAATTAAAATATAAAAAGGGACTGGGGGTAGAGCTCAGTGCTAGAGCTGAGTTCAGACCCCAGTATCACACACGCACGCACACACGCACACGCACACACACATGCACACATACACACGCACATGCACACACACACATGCACACACACGCACACACGCACACGCAGGCTGTGACTCTGCCCCGTGAACAAGGGTGACATCAGATTGTTGTTGTTGCTCTTCTGTTGTCTTCACCACCAACACAAATCAGTTTCCCGCTTCCCCTAAGGCCTCCCCCACCCCGCTTAGCATAGGCTGCCAGCCCCACCCGGCCACCTCAGCGCTTGCCAGGTGAGCAGTGAGCAAGTGAGCTCAGGTATGCAGAGGCTGCGGCCAGCAGGGAGGGAGGAGCAAGGGGACCAGGAGGGGCTGGGAGGACAGGAGCCAGGGCCAGACCCAGAGCTGAGCCAGGCCAGCAGCGGCAGGACTTCTGCACCTCACAGGGCCGTCTGCACCAGAGGCCTGAGGGAGGAGGCTGGGCAGCAGCCACAAGCAGGTGCTCACCTCTCTGCTGTCTCCGGAGACTCCAGGTGGTCAAGAGCTCCCACGAAGGGCACCATGAGCACCACAGCTGCCACCTCTGTCACCCCTGGGTAAGTGATACTGCCTTCCTGGGTCTAAGGGAGGAGGCTGGGCCCGGATAGACGCCGGGTCTGAGGGAGGAGAAGCAGGGCCCAGACCCCGGGTCTGAGGGAGGAGAAGCAGGGCCCAGACCCCGGGTCTGAGGGAGGAGAAGCAGGGCCCAGCCCCCACACCTGCAGAGCCAGTTTGCAGCACCCAGGCCAGGACACCAGGAGCCCAGCACCCTCCTCCCTCCCGCTGTGGTTAGAGGGACCAGCCCAGGTTCACGGAGAGAGCCCCACACCCTCAGCCCGGCTCTCCCCTGACCCGGGAGCACCAGGCCAGGGGATTTCACAGCAGGTCCCTAGCAGGCACTCCATCTGTGGGACTGCTTGGGCCCCTGAAGTTATCTTCTCATTAAATATTGACCTTCTGCTAGAAAATCAGGGCTGTTAAGGATGAGGACTCCAGGCTATGGTGAGCAGGCAGGACAGAGAGAGATGGATCTAAAGAGCTGCATGGTAGGTAGTGAGCTTCCCAGATCAGAGGTAATCAAATTGTGGTGACCCCTAAATGGCAGGAGCAGCATGAAGAGCAGGGCTTTGGCTACAGTTTCCTCAGCCTTCCTCGCCCCTCCCCTGAGGTCTGAGATCCTCTTATTTCCATGGACAAGGGCATGTATGGATTCTCATAGACAGCGCCCTTGAAGAGCAGCCAGGGAGAGCGGAAGACAGAGGGAGATTCACTGGAAAGAGCGCGCAGGGTAGGAGGAGGGAAGCGAACCCGGGGCAGTGGCAGGTGCTCCGGAAGCTACTGCGCCAGTTCCCACTTACAGAGGAACTGCTTGGGCTAAGGCCTTCCCAGTAAGGGTCGTGACACTTACGGAGGCCGAGGAGACTGCACAGGCATCATCACACTGATGTGCCCGACAGCCCCAGCAGCCGGATGCTATCTTACAGCAAGGGAGACTGAGGCAGAGACAATGAGTCTCCTGCCCAGGCTCATGGCAATGAAGTAGCACAGAGGATTTGAACCCAGGTCTGAATGCCAGTGGGGCCTCACTCATGACCACAGCTTACCTATCTTCTCCAATACCAGGATGGCCCTGGCCTTCCCTGCTCCAAGCCCTCCATGGCTTCCCAGCACCCTCACCGTGAAGGCCTTGTGGTGCTGCCTGGCACTCGGTGGGTTCTGCCCCAAATTCCCACAACCTCTCCCACTCTCTTTTCTTTCACCAGCCCAGAAGCTGCCCCAAAGCCAAGTGCCAAGTCTATCTATGGTGAGTGAGGGGCCTGGAATCCAGGGCCAGGCGAGGCAGCCTGGGCCTGTAGTCCGGTGTCGGAGGAGGGCCTGGGCTGGACTCCAGGTCTGAGGGAGGAGGCTGGGCCCGGACCCCAGCTCTGAGCGAGGAGACCTGGCCTGGGACCCTGGGTCTGAGGGAGAAGGCTGGGCTTGACTGCTGTGCGCCTCCTCCTTCCCACACAGAGCAGAGGAAGCGTTACTCCACAGTGGTGATGGCCGATGTGTCCCAGTACCAGGTCAATGTGAGTCTGGTCTGCTCCTGCAGGGAGAGTCTGCTTTTTCTGTATCAGCTTGGTGCTGAACAGAGACAAATTGCACTGAGGCAGGGGTTGTGGGGGACACGGCCCAGAGGCGACCTGGGGTCTCAGGAGGCGCTGAGAGGAAGTAGTTGTAATCCAGACCCTTGTTCCCCAGTCGGGTGCCCACCATCGGTAGGGAGAACAGGACAGGGGCCCCAGGCAGAGGGGCCGACTCCAGAGGTGATGGGGCGGCTTCCTGGAGCAGGTGCGGTGGGCCTCAGGTGGGAAGTCTGTGTCCCAGGGCCCCATCCACTCACTGCCGTCTCTGCGGTGCCAGCACCTGGTGACCTTCTGCTTGGGCGAGGAGGACGGCGTGCACACAGTGGAGGATGCATCCAGGAAGCTGGCTGTCATGGACAGCCAGGGCCGCGTCTGGACCCAGGAGATGCTGCTGCGCGTGTCCCCTGGCCATGTCACGCTGCTCGACCCGGCCTCCAAGGTGAGGAAGTGAGCGGAGGAGTGGCTGGGCTCTGACCCAGGACTCCGAGGGCTGAGCGCAGGGTGGCAAGCGTCCGTTTCCAGCCCGCCAGCCGCTCCTATTAAACGAGAGCCGCCCTGCCCCGCTCCTGAACCCACTGAGCACTGCAGTCGCCGTGGTGCAGTAGTAGCAGCCTGTGCCTCAGTTTACCCTGCTATCCTGCCTCCAGGAGGAGCTGGAGTCCTATCCCTTGGGCTCCATAGTGCGCTGCGACGCGGTGACGCTGCCGGGCCGGAGCCGCTCGCTGCTGCTGCTGCTGGTGTGTCAGGAGCCCGAGCGCCCACAGCCCGACGTGCACTTCTTCCAGGGCCTACGGCTAGGGGTGAGAGGCTGTGTCCCCACCTGGACAGAAATGGGGCGTAGCCTGCTGGCAAAGGCGGGGTCTGGGAAACAGGGAGGGGCGTGGCCTGGGAAGCCGCTCTGGAGGGGAGGGTTTGTGGGCAGGGTGGAGTCTGGCCTAGGCGTGGTCTGAAGGCAGTGGGCGGGGCTTGACTCCGTGATTGGCAGGCGGAGCTGATCCGAGAGGACATCCAGGGGGCTCTGCATAGTTACCGCTCGGGACGTGGGGAGCGCAGGGCAGCGGCGCTTAGGTGAGGGGCTGCACCCGAAGGGGGAGGGGGAGGGGAAGGGGTCTCCTGCCCCTCCCAGACGAGAAGACCCCCTCTCCTGGCCCTCGGGTTCTCCCTCTGGCCTCAGTTTCCGCCCATCACCGAGCCTACGTCTGGCCCCTTCGATCTCAGGGCCTCCTCCCCAGCCACGAGTTTCTCCCTCGCTGGCCCTCTCCGCTGATCCGGCCTCAGTTACCCCCGCTTCTCCACAGGGCAGCGGAGGAGGAGCTGCAGCGCGGGACTGCGCCCGCCGCCCAGACCCCGCCCCTGCAGCGCCGCCCGTCTGTCCGCGCGGTGATCAGCTCAGCGGCGCCCACCGCAGGGCGCTGGGCGCCCCCGGTGCAGCGCATCCCCGAGGCGGAGGCGGAAACGGAGGCGGAGGCGAAGCCCGGCCCGGCGAGCGCCGCAGCGAGCAGGGCAGACCCCGCGAGTCCGGACCTGGGCCCGCGCGGCCCGGAGCTGGCCGGTCTGCAGGCGGAGCGCGAAGTGGTGAGGGGCGGAGCAGGGCCTGGGGCGGGGCTGTCGGGTTCAGGGCCAGTCAAGCCATCCTTCTGGGTCGAGGCTATGGCACTGGTCTCTAGCTCGTCCGTGAGTGGAGGTGCTGGGCCTTTGAGTGCCACTCAGCTCCACGGGCCTGGCCGGTGCTCCGGGGGCGTGCTCACCCGTGCGTCCCACCAGGGGCGTGGCATGGCCCGGGGGCGTGTCTATGCGGTCGAGGTCGAAGGTGATGAGGGTCCCTCTCCCTTGGTTCCCAGGACATCCTGAACCACGTGTTTGAGGACATAGAGACCTTCGTGTCGAGGCTGCAGAAGTCTGCGGAGGCCACCCGCGTGTTGGAGCACCGGGAGCGTGGCCGAAGGACCCGGCGCCGGGCGGCTGGGGGTAAGGAACGCCCCAAAGGATCCAGAGCGCCCATTCCTGGGTCGCTCCCAAAGATTCCTCCCCTCCAGCATCTCCATTCCCCCTCCGCCGGTGGGGCCTGGCTTCTAACGGGTGTCCTCCCGGAGTGTCCCTGGGTGCCCGCCCCTCTCTGGCGATGTCACCAGTCGCCCCGGGGCCCCACCACCGTGCCTGCCACTCACAGAGGGCCTGCTGACGCTGCGGGCCAAGCCACCCTCGGAATCCGAGTATACGGACGTGCTTCAGAAAATCAAGTATGCCTTCAGCCTGCTGGTGAGGACGCGCGGCCCTGGGCCTCGCGGGGACAGAGGGCGGTGACCCCTACCTTCCCTCACTAACCCGGCGCCACCCCGCCTAGGCCCGACTGCGCGGCAACATCGCCAACCCCTCCTCCCCGGAGCTGCTGCACTTTCTGTTCGGACCGCTGCAGATGGTGAGCCGGTGCTGCTCGCTGCGTCCCCCGCAGGCCGGGGCAGAGCAGAGGGGTTGATGCCATCCCGACCCCTGCCGCCCTGCAGATCGTGAACACATCCGGTGGCCCTGAGTTCGCCAGCGCCGTAGGGCGGCCGCACCTGACCTCCGAGGCTGTGACGCTGCTGCGAGACAATGTCACCCCTCGGGAAAACGCGCTGTGGACCTCGCTCGGGGACTCCTGGACCCGCCCCGGGTAAGGGACCGGCGGAGCACAGAGGGCGTGGAAACCGGAAAGGGGCTGGGCAGGTCAGGCTAGAGGCGGGACTTAGCTAGGGGGTGTGGATAAGGACATTGAGGATGGGGCGGGGCTTAGGGTACATGCAGGATCCGATTGAGGAAAGGCTAGAAATTAGCATGAAGGAAAAGTTTAAAATCTAACCAGACGATCAGTCGGATTGCTGAAAAAGGTAAGGACTAGGGCACGCCTGTGGCTGAGGCAGGAGGATTTCAGGGTTCAGGGTTCAATCTCCAGTACTACCCAAAAAAGGCAAAGCTAGAGGACTGCGTGGCAGGGGCGGGACTTAGGTGAGTGGGCGTCGCTATATTGAAGAGGCGGGGCTTTTTTGAAGGTGCCTCCTGTAGATTTCAGGGTAGGACTTGGGGCCGGGGATTTAGCTCAGTTTGCCGCCCCCTAGCTCGCAAGCGCAAGGTCCTGAGTTTGATCCCCGATACCAAAAAAAAAAAAAAAAAAAAAAATGGATAAGACCAAGCCTGAACTTCGAGATTCAGTGTAGGAGCAGAACAAGAGATCTGACGTGGGTGAAAGGGAGGGATGAAAGTAGCTAGAAAATTGCTTTGGGGTGGGAGGTGAGATAGAAGCTGAGAGGAACCAGGGGTGGTGGTGCACACCTGTACTCCCAGAACTCAGGAGGCTGAGGCGGGAGGATCTCCTCAAGTTCAAGGTCAGCCAGGGATACACAGTTCAAGGCCACCCTGAGCTACATAGCGAGACCCTGTCTCAAAACAAGTTGAGCGGGCCATCAGAAGGGAGTTGACTTAAAAACAACTGAAGTCGTGACAGTGCTTAGAGAGAGCCTGTGTCCTCGCGGACCAGAATCTCTGAGCCACCGCTGTCCCGGACCACAGGCTGGAGCTGCCCCTAGAGGAGGGACCCGCTTACAGCCCCAAATTTTACAGCGGCTGGGAGCCGCCGGCCACCGATCCCCAGGGCCGTGCCTGGGAGGACTCGGTGGAGAAGCAGCTCCAACACGAGCGGCAGCGCCAGCAGGTGAGGCCGGGGAATTCCCCAGGCCCAAGGGGGGTCGGGCACGAACTCCACCTGACCCAGGCTATCTCCCTCCCTGCAGCAAAGCGCACCCCAAGTCGCCGTCAATGGGTGAGTGTCCGCTCCAGGTGGGCAGGGTGTTCAGGAGGGGTGCATCCCCGGCTCCTGGCACTGACCCGGCCCCCTTTTCTGTCTTTTTCTTGTCTCCTCACTGCTCACAGGTGGGTGAGGTGGTGACAGGAGGGGCGGGGAGGGGTGGGGGAGGGGCTGGAGGAAGGGGAGGGACAAGGTGGGGGGGCAGGTCCCTGGGGCAGGGAGTGGGTGGTCCTGGAGGCTGGACCGGGTCCTCGAGGGGCACAGTCTGGAAGGCGCGTCATGCCTGGGTTCCTGCGGGGACAGAGTCCTGGTGTCAGAGGGCGAGGCTGGGGATGGATGTTTGTGTTTTGAAAAACTCAGATTTGGCACTGGGGATTCGGAGGAGCAGGCTGGGGCTTCAAGGGCTTGGGGTCAAGTTGCTGGTAGAGTTGGGACCTGACAGTGCCTCTGGGCCACTGGCAGGGAAGCTGGGAAGTGGGACTTCCAGTTTCCCAAAGGCTTTAAAGCAATACTCCAAGTCCCTCCAGACTTGGAGCTGAAAGGAAGAGGAAACTGAAGCTTGAGACCTGGACTCCTGGGAAAGAAAAAACCAGGGATCCAAACTCGTGGTTCTGCCACACTATGGGGACTCAGGGTCTTGGGTTCTGGGAGGAAGAAGAAGACAGAGCCAGAAGTCTAGGGTCCTTGGGCCAGCAAGGGGCAGATCAGAGGGAGCCAACCTGAGACGGGAAGGAACCAGAGGTGAATGGGGGTCTGGCTGGGGGCCCCCGGCAGAGGGCTCTGCAAGGACAGCATGCTGGCAGCTGCCAGTCCCACACAGGGGGTGCCGCAGCCCTGAAGACCCCCCCTCTCCCCTGCACAGGTAGGCCTGATTCAGGCTGAGGCCCCTCAGCTGCCTAGTGTCGCAGAACCCCCCCCCCAGCCCTGCACCCCTGGGCTTCCAAAGCTTGGGCTTGGGACCCCTCTAGCTTTCCACTCACTTCCCTGAGCCTTGAGTGCTTACAAAGGAAACGGGGGATGGCAGTGTCTGGGGAAGCGCAGGAAGCCCCAGAAACAGGGGCTGGTGAAGCTCAACGCCGTGGCTGAACTTGGGCTCCCATCAGCTGCACACAAGCAGGGCAGAGGGACAGCGACATTCAGTGCCTGGACCCAGTCCCCCAACGCCGCTTCCTCACTCCCTGGCCTTTCCATTACTGTGCCAAAGCATCTTTGCCTGTGAAAACGGATAAGAGGTGTCCACAGAAGGAAGGAAGTGGGGTCCAAATTGATGGTTCTACCACGGGTCCTCAGGGGGATCAAATCAGCTAATCTACATACTCTGAACAGTACCGGGCCTGTATTGCTACACACATAGCTGCAGCTATTGCTTTTACTACGAATCACCATAATACATGAGCCGGGGCCCTAGCAGGTGCTTAATAAATGGCAGCTATTTTTCCTGAGCACTCTGTCGTTCCCCGATAAATGGAAGTGTTGCTAATACCCACATCATAGGCCAGCACCAGGCCAGGAAAGGGAAGGAGCAAACTACGCAAATCTTTGTTACTATTTCAGATCCCAGTTAACCTGGCCCCCTCCCCAGCTTGGCTCTAACCTCTACTCGCACCAGCACCTCACAGCCCAGACCAGTGGGGCTGGCTGCCTTTTCATCTCCACCTTCCCAATTCCTCTCAGTCACCCAGAGCCGGAGCCAGGGCCAGAGCCAGCAGGAAAGTGGGTCCTCTGTAATTACGACTTCCAGGCCCGCAACAGCAGCGAACTGTCCATCAAGCAGCGAGCAGTGCTGGAGGTTAGGAACCGTGGCTTCCAGTCGAACTGGCCAGCACAACCCAGCTCAGCCGCAGCCCCAGGCCCTGAGGCTTTTCCTACCCCACCCAGGTCCTGGATGACAGGCGCAAGTGGTGGAAGGTTCGGGACCAACAGGGCCGGGAGGGTTATGTACCCTATAATATCCTGACACCCCATCCCGGACCCCGAGCGGACCACAGCCAGAGCCCTGCGCGAAGCCCGGTGAGCCAGGCAGACTGGGATCCTGAGGGAGAGGTGGGGGCCAGATCCTGGATTCTGAGAATGAAGGGCATGGGGACCCAGTGTCAAGAGTTCTGACTGGGGGCCCAGAAGTTCAGAGGGAGGGCCAGGGATTTGGCTCAGTGGGACCGAGTCTGCCTTGCAAGCACAAGGTCCTGAGTTCAATCCCTGGTACAAAAAACAAAAGTTCAGAGGGAGCAGCGGGACTCGAAGTCCTCCCCCTGACCTAGGGAGCCTCTTTCGCCCCCAGGAGAACAGCACGCCTCCTCCTAACCCCCCAGCTCCAGCCCGGGCCCCAGCTCCCGCTCAGCCCCACTGGGACAGCTGCGACAGCCTCAGCAACTTGGAGCCTAGCGAGAAGGGTGAGTGTTGAGGCAGCCCCTCGGAGGAGCGGTCCTTGTCCTCTCTTTTCCGGGAACGGTGGCTTAGAAAGAGAAAATGAAGCCAGGCCTGATGGCGCACGCCTGTAATCCCAGCACCCTGGGATGGTGAGCCCGGAGGATCGCAAGCTCGAGCCCAACCTCAGTAACTTAGTAAATTAACGAGATCCAGGCTCAAAACTTTTTAAAAAGCAAGGGGGTAGGGGGTAGCTCAGTGCGAAGACCTTGGGTTCCAGAGAAAGAATGAGAATGGATTCTCAATCGACCCATCCTTGGGACGCTAGAGGCCCCGGCCCAGACTCCCTCGCCCTTTATGCGTACTGCATCCCTCCCGGCTCCTCGCCTGCAGAGAAATTCTCCCAGATGCTGAGTGTGAACGAGGAGCTGCAGGCGCGCCTGGCCCAGGGCCGCTCGGTTCCCAGCCGCGTAGCCCCGGGACCCCGCGCACCGGAGCCGCAGCTCAGCCGGAGCTCCGACGCCGCGGAGGTCCGCGCCTGGCTACAGGCCAAGGGGTTTAGCGTTGGGTGAGTGGGATCGCAGGCGCATGCGCGGAGAGGCCAGGCGCTGGGAGCGGAGGTTCCGAATGGCTCGGAGTGGGGCGTGGAGCCCACGGGGAGCAGTGATTGGCCCAAATTTATAGTCTGGGTGTACCGCTAGTAGATTTCCCAGATTCCGATTGGCGCCCCCAGGAAAATCCCGCCCCATCTCGGAAGAGGGCGCGCTTTCGCCCCAGGACCGCGGGCTGTGATTGAGAGGTGGGGACGCTGCTCTGATTGGACAAGCGGCTAAGCAGTCCTGACGTGTTTGGCGAGGCTGGAGGGGGCTTGAGCTATGATTGGGCCACAGGCCTGACCGCCCGCCCCGGCCCGGTGCAGGACTGTGGACGCGCTGGGCGTGCTGACAGGTGCGCAGCTCTTCTCGCTGCGGAAGGAGGAGCTGCGGGCGGTGAGCCCGGAGGAAGGCGCGCGCGTGCACAGCCAGCTCACGGTGCAGCGTGCGCTGCTAGAGGTGAGGGCGGCCGCTCGCCGGGGCCGACGGGCGGGTAGCGCCGAGAGCTCGGCAGCCACGGCCTGACTCCCACTCGCCCCGCAGGACAAAGAGAAAGTGTCCGAGCTGGAGGCGGTGATGGAGAAGCAGAAGAAGAAGGTGGAAGGCGAGATGAAAGCGGAGGTCATCTGACCCTCGCCGGCCCCTTCGCCGACGTGACCGTGACGGGGCGCCTGCCCCGCGGGACCGCGGACTCCAGTCCCGGAGGACCGCCGAGCTGGCCCGGGCCCGCGCAGACGCACGGCCCCGCTGGAGTCCTGCCTCCCTGCCTGCCGAGCGCTCAAGGGGCCCTCCCTGGGAGCGGGCACCCCGCAACCCTGTGCCTCGTGACGTATACCCTAGCCTATAAACAGCCTCCTTTCAGTTACCGAGTCTACGCTGTCCTCTCTCTGCTTGGCTACCAGGGAGCCAGGGAAGCTGCCTCTGGCCCCCTTCTGAGATTTCCCTCCCAGGGCCCTCCCCTGCATCCCGGGGATCCCGCTCTGTCTTCCAGCTCGCCCGTCTTCTGAACACCTGTCCCTCGCTCAGAATTCCTCTGTGGCTCCCCCAGTGCCCTCGAGTATATATTTCCCTCCTCCCTCTCGGGCATCATCTTTCACCACCCCACCTCATTCCCCACGCACGCTGATCCTGCCCTTCTCTCTCCCAGGCCCCTTCAAGCACAGGCGTCTTTCATTTGATTTTCTGCTGGTCACAACAGCCTTTCTCTGGCGAACTCATTCATCCTTCTTGGCCCAGCTCGAATGCCCACTCTAGGGAAGCCTGCCCTGCACCCCCTGGCTAGTCTCCCAGTATCCGTGTCTCTGCCAGGGGTCCAGCCTTGGGGAGTTGGCTGCCTCCGGAGCGTGCCATGCTGTCCTTGGGAGCCTGCAGGTTGCCCCACTATCGGTGTGGTTTTCTCTGGCTCACACCCTTGGGCAGACTGCACACCCCTCTGACTATGGAGAGTGGGTCTTCCCAAGCGTCCCCAGAGCACCCACTGCCAGGCTCCCCACGGGCCTCTAGACCTGTGGCGGCCTTCCTGAGGCTCAGTTCCCACTTGAGCCACCAGATGGTGCCCTGAAACCAGATGGGCCAGGGACTGCGGGCACGGCCAGGAGCCGCCTCTAGCCCCGCTTCCATGCTCTGGCCTTGGTTTCCTTCTGGGACAATGGCCACTTCCAGTCTCCAAGACGCTTTCCCACAACCATCCTGCTCCTGTCCCCTTCCCAGACACCTCCCTTGGCTCCCCCTCCAGCTCGGTAGCCAAAGGCCCATGCCAGCCAGGGTCACCCTCTTCCTGCCACCACGGGGCCTTTTATCTAAGTGTTGACGGGCTCTGCCACACATTTCACAGGAACCAAGCAGTCCCCCAGGCCTCCGAGCCTCAGTCCCCGAGCTCCACATCCCACCCGTCCAAGCCGGGGCTGAGGATCAAATTCCTTCAGGAAGCACACACCAGGGCCTTGTGGAAACATCCAGAGGCCAGGCCTTCCAGCCTCCTGGATCTTGCGTCTGTCACCATCTTCACCACCGTTCCAGCCACCACCGAATGTGCTGGGACTTCAACCTCAGCCAGTCCCCCTGTCCCTAAGCCCCAGCCCGTCTGTCAGTGAGAAGCCAGCAAGACCTCAGAGCGGGTCCCGCTCAGTGCCATGTTGCTGCATAACCTCATCCCCTACTCCTGTCTAGCCACAGCTGCTTTGTCCTGCACCCACACCCAGGGCCTCTGCACAGCCCTCAGGCACACGCTCACTCCCTGCCACCTCGAGGGTGTACCTGTGCCTTTCCCTGGAGGCCTCCCAGATCACCCTGCACACAGCACACATCTCCCTGTCCTCTGCCTGGGCTGTTCTTGGGTGTCCACCCTCTTCTCCCAAAATGCATCAGACCTTTGGTTTTTGGTTTTTTGCAGTGCTGGTGATTGAACCCCACCCCACACACCCAAGCAATCCTGCGCAGAGCTACATCCCTGGCCTTTTTTAAAGATTACCATTTTAAGCCAGGGCCTAACTTGCCCAAGCTGGCCTCAAACTTTCAACCTTCCTGCTTCAGCCTCCTGAGTAGTGGAATTTCAGGCATGTGCTGCCACCCCTGCCCGTCTTCTTCACTACAGTACCCAGCAGACACCACCAGGCCTGGCAGGCAGGACAGGCCCAGGGATCACTGAGTGGATGAGCGAGCTCTGACTGGGGCAGCTCCTGCTCGGCTCCACCTCCACTGTGGCAGGACTGGGAACTGAGTACTGCCACACCTCCGACTTTCCCAGGGAGGCCCAAACTCCAGTTTGGGATGTGCGTTAACCAGATTTTAAATGCCGGCAACTGGCTCTAATTTGTTCCAAAGGTGCGGGGCACAAATCCCAGCTCCCTAGAGCCAGCCATGGTGGTGCACATCCCTAATCCCAGCAATCAGAAGGCTGAGGCACAAGGATCACCATGAGTCTGAGGCCAGCCCGGGCTACACAGAGAGTTCAAGGCTAGCCTGGACTACGCAGTCAAGACCCTGTCTCCTAAACAAACCCAGGCTCCTCAGCTCCAAGTTCATGGCCCCAAGGTCGTCCCTGCCCTCCCTCCCTCCCTCCTCAGAGTCCCACTGTGTCAGCCAGGCCTGGGGCCTCTCCCCACACAGCAAACACCGACCCCCCCGCCCGGCACCACTCACAGGCGCACACAGCCCAGGGACAGAAGCAGGAGCAAGTGCCCTGTCCCTCACCCCTGGCTGGGGACAAGTCCTTGAGTGGCAACATCACGACTTTTATTTGTGGTGCCTGTGCTTTGTCTCGAAAATACCTTCTCCCCCTCCTCACACAACAGTCAGTGAGGGGGCAGCAAAAAATAGAAGACGTCCCTCCTATTGCACATGGACCCTACATAAAGGCCCACCGGGGGACCGGCGGGACTCCTGGCACATTCCTGGACCCTGCTCAGGAGGGGAGGGTGCTGGGGTGGCATCACACGTGAGGCGGGGACCCCGGGCGGCCCCTCTGGTCCTCGGCTACTGGCCTTGCTTCCTTCCTGGCCCCTCAGCGACATCCCCCCACCTGGCTCAGCCTCCCCTCCGTCCAGCCTCTGGCGGACCCCAGGCCCTGGGGACCTGTGCTTCCCTCGGGTCCCTCATGGGGTCTATGGCTTCTCGGCGGCTTCCCCAGAGCCGTCACTCGTGTTCCCGTGGGAAGGGTGCGTGTGGCAAAGCAGCTGTATAAATATGGGTGCGGGCGAGTCCTCCAGCGTCACTTGGACAGCTTGCTGATGACTCGGATCAGTGCTGCATTCTCATCCTTGAGCCGCTGGTTATCAGCGCGGAGGTCAGACAGGGCCTGGGGCACGGGGCGGGGTCAGCAGGGGGCCTGGCCGGGCTGCACCAGCCCTCGGTGGCCCCCCAAGCACCCACCTTCAGCTCCTCCTCCAGCTCGGCAGCCTTGTGCTCCAGGGCCCTGCGCTCCTGGAATGCAGGGAGCGAGGTCAGAGCCGTGGGGCGGAGAACTGGGGGTGGTGGGCGGGGGCAGGGGAGGGTCAAGTCAGCGTGGGGCCTGTGGGTCGGTACCGCACGGGGAAGGCACAGGGAAGGCTGGGAACGGGGGCCCTCATCCCAGAGGCCCTGACTCACAAATCTCTCCAGCTCCAGGAGGGCGGGCCTCTCTGCGAAGCGTTCCTGCCGCTGGCGAGGACAGAGCAAGGCACAGGCATGAGGGAAGAGTGGGAGAGGGGCCAGGCTCCGGGCCCAGGCCACCCTGTGAAAAGCAGAGCCCGCTGGGCCCCTCATGCCCTGGGCCCTCACCTGTGTGGCCCGCTCCAGCTCTACCTTGAGCTGTGCCAGCCGCAGTGTGGTCTCGGTCAGGGCCTCTCGAAGCCGCTCGTTCTCCCTGCGCAGCTCCGAGTACAGCTGAGGGCACCAGAGAGGACGGGGTCAGGCAGGGCAGACCTGGGCCTGGGGAGGCCGGGCCACCAACTGGGCCAGCAGGGGTCCTGCACCTTCCTGAAGCCCCCGTCTGGCTCCTCTGGTTTCAGCTCGGGCTCTGGGGTGAGGTTCTGCTTCGGCCGAGGCCTCCGGGCCACGAGGGCATCTACACGGTTGCTGAGCAGAGGGGCACTGTCAGTGGGGTCGGGGGCTGGGTCCAGGCCCTGTCCCAGACCCTGCTCCCCACCCACCTACCTGCACTCGGAGCTGTGCTCCTCGGGCTCCGCCTCCTCCCCCTGCCAGGACGGAAGGAAGAGGAGTTTCAGCCCCAGGATGCATCCTGCCCTCTCCCAGCCCGGCCACCAGGGCCCTGCTCACCTCCGCAGGCCCCCACCGCTCCCTGCCAGCCTTGCGGGGCTCCCTGGCAGTCTGTGGTCCCTGGCCCTGCCCATCAGGCGCCTCTGCTGGGGACGGGGAGCCATCAGCCTGGGAAGCCCTCAGGGACCTTCCCTGAGGGGTGGGGTCCCAGGGCCTATCCCCAGGACACAGGAAGGCTGCACAGGAGACTTCCAGAGAAACCTCACCTCTCCGGGCAGGGCCCTCAGAGTTCTCCACTCCAGGGACTCTGGGCCTCGGGGAAGGGTCCTGCCAGGGAGGAGACGGTCAGGACCAGGGGCCTGGCACCACCCGCCGCCCTTCATCTGACCCTGCTCACCAGGCCCCGCAGAGACAGCTTCGCTGCCTCAGTGGACTTTCCTGCCACCTTCTCTGCTTCCTTCAGGTCTGTCAGAGTCACGCCCTGCCAGGCAGAGGAGACAGGGCCAGGGCCCAGGCTCTATGAGGACACAGTCCAGACCCAGGGCTCCAGGCTCAGCCTCCTCCATCAGACCCGGGGGCCGGCACCCACCCACCCCACACCTGTGTGGACCTCCGAGACTGGCGCATGAGGCGGGAGCGCGCTTTCCGCTGGGATTCGGACTCCTCATCCCGTGCAGGCATCTGGTAGGACCTGCGTGAAGGACCCGCGTGAAGGACCCGGACTCAGGGAGGGCCTGAGCTCCTATCCCCATCCCCTGCAGGCAGCAGCTCCCTCAGGAGCCCTGGTGACTCCTCTCCACTGGACAGGCAACTTCCTCCCTGGCCGCCTCACCTCCGCCGGTCACGGGAGTCCGCTGGGGCCGGGGTGGAGGCTGGGGGGACATTTGGCTTCGCTGGGGACCCCAGCTCCCTGCTGGAGGGAGGAGTGCAGTTATACAAGGTGGGTGGGGGCCTGGCAACCCCAGACCTGTTGAATGCGTTCATTCAGGAAACAGCGCTCGGGCACTGAGACACAGGCGAGAACCCAGAGCTAGGTCCCCAGCAGAGAAGATGGGGACGACCAAGCGCAGGCCTCTCAGGGCATGACCAGGCACATGGGGACACGGGACTAAAGAAGGGCCCCAGGCCGGGCGAGAGGTGTGCGTGCGGGACTCGGGGCGGGAGTGTGGTGGTCTCAGTGGGCCACAGGCAGAGGACGACATCTGATCAGAGACCTGAGGGAGGCAGGGAAGCAGGAGGGCAGAGATCCAGTGGAGGAACCAAGAGGCCCGGTCACTGTGGCCCAGAAGTCCCACTGGGAGCTTTCCCTTGATTCAACAAATGGAAACTGAGGCAGCGTGTTAGGGAAGAACAGGACCCCAGACCTGCCATCCAGGCCCAGGACTCACAGGGGACAGGGCTCCGGGGTCTTCCGGGAGAGAGTGGGGGGAATCCCGGCAAGACAGGGCTCCCTGGCCTGTGGAGAGAGAGGATGTGTCTTCTCCCCATCGGGACAAGCTCCTGGCCCGGCCACTGCATGCCACCCACCTGCGCCAAGGTCCCTTCCAGCCAGGACGAGGAGGCCGAGCGCTGCAGCCCAGCCCCAGTGGCTGCCTCGGCCCCCCGCCTCTCTGTAGGCCCCAAAGCCCCAGAGCTCCCAGTCTTCTGGAGGCCAAAACGCTGAGAGCAGGGTGCAGCAGTGGCGGCGGCAGGCAGCTGGAGGGAGGGAGGGAGGTCGGTCTCCGTCAGAGAAGCATCTGTCCCTGGAGCGGGAGCCGGACAGCTGCAGCTGCCAGCAGCGCAGAGGCAGCGGAGGTAACAGATTTCCGTATCGCATGCCCGCCTCGGCCTCACAGCCCTCACAGGGACAGACTCACCACAGGGCTCGGGGGACTGGCGAGGGGCGGGGAGGACACGCCATTGAGGGCTCTGGGTTCTGCAGGGGGCGGCTCTACGGGACAAGGTGTAGGTGCCACAATACGCCAGGTGTCTCTGGAGACGGGACAGCCAGCCTCCTCCCTCAGACCCGGGGTCCAGGCCCAGCCTCCTCCCTCAGGTCACAAGCCTCCCCCGGGCCCCTACCTACCGGGATGGCCCTCTTCCCCTTCCTCCTCGTCCCGGATGGGCGGCCCCCCTGCCCCGCCTGGCCTGCGCTCCTTGGACAGGTCCTGCAGGGAGATCTTCTCGCGGCTGCTCAGGCGGCACACAGAGCTCCTGGGAAAGGAGCGGGTGTCGGTGTTCGTGTCCGTGGGTCCATGTCATCCCCGCCCTGCCCCGCCCCGCCAGGCTCTCTCCTTCCTACCGCCTGTGCTTGCTGCTGGATGGAACCTGGGGCTCCTGGCCTCTGCTCCGGCCAGCTTCCTTCTGGTGTCGAAGCTGTGTGAAGGGAAGGGCTGCTAGAGCACTCACCACTGGGTCCCGGGCCCCTCCCAGCGCGGTGCCACCACACACAGCCGTGCCGCGGCCTTCCGTGTCATGCCCCCACCTGTGAGGAGCCCAGCCTGGCCCCAGGGCCTTCCCACACACAGGGACATCTTGAGTCTGACGCCTCCCTACCTACTCCTCAGCACGCCCAGGACCGGCCCTCCCTCTGCCGCCCTGGTACAGTCAGGCGGCCACTGGCTGCCACCTCCTCAGCCCAGCCAGGAGACTCACAGCGGTGCCCCCAGAAATGGCACTGCCCCTGCCTCTTCTAGTAAGCTGCTGCGAACACATGTCCCCAGGAGGGTTCTCCCATGCCCAGGCGGGCTCCAGTGACACCTGGGCCACCTCACCAGGCACCGAGGCTCCAACCCGGCCAGGCCAGCTGGAGCCTGCACTGCACCCCCCAGGAATGGGCCTGCATGGGGGCGTCAGGTGAGAAGCCCAGCTGGGTCCAGGTGGACACAGGTAGCAACCATCGACAGAAAGCTCTGTGCCCAGGGCCTCCTGCCTTGGCTGCCCAGCGGGGCCCCTCCACCAGGCTGGGCCCTGGAGGCAGAAGCTGTTGGGCACGAGGGTCCTCCCTCCCTCCCGAGACTCACGTCCTCCTGCTTCTGAGCCAGTTCCTCCAACAGGCTCAGCACCTCTTCATCTGCCAGGTCACAGGGCCGCTGCCCCTGGGGGGAGGGAGGGAGTAACAGAGGGGCACGGGTTCTGCTCCCCCTCCCCAGCACCCGGGCCCGGCCCTACCGCGTGGGTCAGCGAGTCCATGCCCCCGCCATGCTCGGCCAGCAGGCGACACGCGTCCTCCACACCCCAGTGGGCTGCCGCGTGCAGGGGGGTCCAGCCATCCCCATCTCGGAGCTCCGGGTCATAGCCGGCCTGCAGCAGGAGCCTGGGGGCCAGGGAGGTGGGTCAGGGCCGAAGCAGGGTCGAAGCTGGTTCCCACAGCACCAACCTTACACAGGCAAATGCTCCTGGCCAACGGTCAAGGGCCCCAAACCAGGGCTCTCCCCAGGGACCCTGCGGCCCGCCAGCCTCCAACCCTCCAGGGACCAGCAGGCAGCAGCCAGTCAACCCTGGCCTGGGGTGGCTATAGGAACTGGGTCCTCCTTCCCACAGGGCCCCAGGAGCCTGTGGGGGAGTGGCTGTAAGGACGCTGTCCTCCTGTCCTGCACCCCCTCCCCCCGGCTCCAGGCCTAGGAAGACAATGAGACCCCAAGGTGCAGGCTCCAGGCTGCAGCCTGTGGGGACCCTGCTGGCTCCTGGAGGTGGCTCTCAGGAGTGTGGCACTGCCCCCCCCCAGGACACAGGGGACCTCTCTGGCTGTTCTAACTTGGGGTGGCAGCCAGTGGCATCTAGTGACTGGGGGCAGGGACAAGGGTCAACAACCCACAGGCCCTCCAACCTCAGAAAGACCTGAGCCCAAATGTCCACAATGCTCAGGCTGAGAAGCCTGGCCCAGCCAGTGCTCCCAGGAAACAGTAGTCGGCACTCAGCCTGGGCAGAGGCAGGCTTACAGGTCCACTGAACTGACAGCCCTGGTGGCACAGACCTTCGATCCCAACACTCCCAGAGGCTGAGGCAGAAGGGTCGCAAGTTTGAGCCCAGCCTTGGCAACTTAGCAAATGAGACCCTATCTCAAACAGAAAAAAGAAGTCCAGGGAACTTTCCAAACCCAGCAGGCTGGCCGGGGATTTAGCTCACTGGTTCTGACGCCTGCCTTGAAAGTGGAAGGTCCTGAGTTCGATCCCTGGTTCCAAAAACAAACAAACGAACAAACAACAAAAAAACCCCAAACCCACCATGGGAAGATGCGGCTGTTCTTGGGGAGCAGGGTGCGTACAGAGTGACAGCTGTCACATGGGGACCTCAGCCGCTCCGCTCCAGCCATGTGGGGATTCTGAGCTTCCCGATGCAACCCTCAGTCACCACCCGCAGTCCCTCCCCACCTCTCACCTTCTCCATGACCCTGCTCAGCTCCATAAGCAGTGACAAAACCACAGAGAACGGGGATTCACTTTTCCCGTGCTGAGATCACACCCAGAGCCTCACACATGCCGGGTGCGTGTGCTACCACTAAGCCTGAGCCTCCTGGCCATTCTACACTCAAAGCTTCAGTTCTGTGACAGATCGAGGCTGCTCGCAAACATCAACTCTCTCAGGCTGAGGGCACAGCTCAGGGGTAGACTGCTCGCCTCGCAGGCATGAAGCCCTGAGTTCAATCCTCAGCACCACACACACACGTCAACTCTCTATTAACCACACGTAATTTTTAGGTGGACACATGGTCATGGTCACTCAGCCAATGAGGAATCTCCAGCATCCCTCATAGGTGATGAGGGCCTGGTAAATGGGACACCTGAATGAAGTGGGACACGCCCCTTGGCACTGCTGTCTTCTTAGGGTCAGACAAGCTGGGCGTGGGGGTGTATTCCTGTAACCCCAGCTACCTGGGAGGCTGAGGCAAGAGGATGAAAAGTCCTAAGCCAGCCTGGGCACCTTAGTGAGACCCGTGTCAAAGCAGAATGTTAAAAGGGCTGGGGTGCAGTTCAGCAAGAGAGCGCTGGCTTAGCAGGCACGAGGCCCTAGGTTCAACTTCTAGCACTGCAAAAGAAAAAAGGACAGACATTTGCCCCTTCTCCTCCCCACTTCCTGCTGGCGGGGATCAGACGTGCACACGGGCAGGAGTACAGGTGGAGGCGCCTGACACCACTGGAAAGGGGAGAACAGCTGATGAGGGACAAAGGAAGACCCCAGATGGTGGGAGGATGACAGAAGAGGAACGCGCACTGTGGTATTTAAAGTACATATGTCCCAGACAGCCCAGACTTCAAATGTGTAAAAAACCAGCAGGTGAAATAGGCCGAGTCTACCACCACAGTGAGAAGCGAACAGGAGCAGCCAGGCAGGTGCTGCCAGGATCCGGAAGGTCTGGACGGCGGGGAGGACACTGCCCGACACCGGCCCTTCCCAGCACAGGTGCTCGGGGCAGACTGAGCAAGAGCAAACCATGCGGGCCCTGTTGTCTGATCCAACTGCAATTAAGCCGGAGAATCGGTAATGAAGTAACTGGGAGTCAGGGACACACTGCTAAACAATCCACAGGCCACAGAAGAGGCTCATGGAGCTGGCCACGGTCCTGCACACCTGTTAATCCCAGCACTCAGGAGGCTGAGGCAGGACGATCAAAAATTCAAGCCCCCGGGGCTGGGGGATTTAGCTCAGTGGTTTCGCCACCTACTGTGCAGGCACAAGGACCAAGCTGGGAGTTCCATCCCCAGTACCAAAAACAAAAAAAAAATTCAATCCCAGCCAGAGCAACTTAGTGAGATCTTATCTCAAAATAAACAATAAAAGCCAGGCGTGGTGGAGCACGCCTGTAATCCCAGCACTCAGGAGGCTAAATCAGGAGGATCACTACAGTTCCATGCCAGCCTGGACTACACAGTGAGTTCAATGCTAGTTGGAAATACATAGCAGACTCTCTCTCAAAAAAAGCAAAAAACAAACAAACAGGGCTGGGGATGAGCTCAGTGTGAAGGTCCTAGGTTCAATTCCCAGCACTGGAAACAAAAGAAAGACAGACCATCAGTTAGAGAATGTTTTACACTGAACCGCAACGAAGGAGACCACACAAGGAAGCGGCAGCCCGGCTGTGCTTGCAGGGAGCGACAGCCTCAGGTGCAGAGCCTGCAAAGGAAAGGCCAAGACGCGCAAACAGGATGGGGCGCTCACCTCATCACCTCGATGTAGCCCTTGGCGGCGGCCACGTGCAGGGCAGAGGCCCCCGTGCGTGGGTGCCGGGCCTCGGGCATGGCGCCCCCATTCAGCCAGCACCGCGTGTCATGAAGCAGCAGCTCCTCCTCCGCCCGCTTGGCTGCCTGCACATCCACACCTGGGGGAGGAGAACAGATGAGGCGGGCTCGCCCCTGGGTGGGTACAGGGCTGCACCCCAGCCGCAGCTCAGCCTGGGCCCCTGCCTGGGCTCAGGAGCCTGGAGCGCCCAGGTGCCCAGATGTGCTGTGCAGTCCCAGCCACGGAGCTTCTCAAGGTCACCGCTACCGGCCAGGAGGGCAGAGATGGGGTCTTCCCCATCCCGATCAGGAAGCCTAAGCTCACGAAGCACACCCTGCATCTGGTGACCACTCACCTGACCCGTCCCTACCGACACAGTCCGCCCGGCACCCTCACAGGGTCACAACCGCCACCCGATCCCCTAGCGCAGGCCAGGCCCGGCACTCACTCACAGCGTCCCTGCGTCTCCACAGCAACCTCCAACCTCGCAAAGGGCCTCACAAAGGACCTCACAAAGGACCCCCGGGCCAGGCAAGTGATAGCTGAAAGGTCAGCTCAGGACCCTCACCCAAGCGGGCGGCCTGGTGGGCTGGCATCCTAGTCACTCTGCAGGGCCCTCGAGGACGTTCCTTCCCATGTGCCTAACTGAGGCAGGGCAACGAGCTCTCTCCTGGTGAAGGTGCCTCTCCCCGGGATGGGGGCGGTGGCCCGTTATTTTCTCAGTTGGGGAATTTTTCCCATTGCCCCAAGAGGTGCAGAGTGCCAGCTGTCTCATGCTGAGCCTCCATGCAGCCCTGAGCACCTGAAATGCAGCTGAGCCCAAGGGAGACCCGCCCTGACCTCGAGGTGCAGGCTGGATCTCGAAGCTCAGGAAAAGGAGTTAAAGTCATGTGAACAGCTGTACATGTGCGTATACGTGTGTGTGGTGTGTGTGTGTGTGTGTGTGTGTGTGTGTGTGTGTGCTGAGGTGCTGGGGATCAAACCCAGGCCTCTGCACACCAGGCAAGTGCTCTACCTATCGCTCTCTTGAGCGATACAGCCCAGCCTGCATGTAGTTTTTTATTAACTGCATGCTGACAATATTTGGGCATATCAGATTGAGATATATTATCACTACTGGGTGTGGGTTTCTGTACAGTGCTAGGGATCAAACTAGGGCATGGTAGGCAAGGATTCTACCACTGGGCCACATCCCACATCTAAATATGACATATTATTAAAATTAATTTCACCTGTTTGCTTTTATTGTTTTAAATCTATCAACTCAGAAAAAAGTTTTTTTGGTTTTGTTTTTTTGAGACAGGGCCTCGCCATGTAGTTCAGGCTGGCCTCACAGCGATCCTCCTGCCTCAGCCTCCTGTGGACTGGGATCACAGGTGTGTCCTGTGGCTTACACAGCACTGGCACAGAAGCCTCATGTTCTCTACCCAGGTTAAAAACCAAGTGTGGCAGAACCGACAGGAGCCCCTCGGCTGCCTCACTGAAGGCAGCCACCATCTCCGGCCCGCCGTTGCATGCTTACTACACAGCCAGAAAACCATGAATGCAACCCAAGAAACGCAACCCTTAACTCGGGGGCAGGCAGCCCGCAACACCCTGCCACAGCAGGTCCTCCCGGCTGGGGCTGCGGCTTGGCGCCCCCTGGTGGCAGGCGGCACTCAGGTCAGTCCCAGGCAGGAATGAAAGGAAATGAAGGGAGGGAGGGAGGTTCACAGCCCGCCTGGGGCGTGGATCCTGGAGGCTGAGGGCAATACCGGGACACCACCCCCCCCTCCCCCAGGCCACATCCCTAAAGCAAGACACCACAGGGCAGATCCAGGCCAAACTTCTCCCGGAGGACAGGAGCTAGGCTGGTCTTCCGTTTAGACGGCTCGGCTCGGGCTCGCTCGGCTAGGGTCACAGCAGGGACCACCCTTACTCTTGGCTGTAGCTGGTAAAATGCTGTGAACACACCAACGCCTTGCCCTGAGGTGCGTGACTCGTGGCACTCAGGATGCTGTCTCACTGCCGGGCATCTGTCACCCCAGATGAAATGCCCATTGGGTGCTGCTGCCCACACTGTCCTCCTGGCCCAGCAGCACCATCCACTTCCGGTCTCTGGGATCTGCCTGTGCCCGTTCCTGCCCCTGGCCATCTTCGGACGGCAGTGGTCCTGCAGGGACGCCGCACCCCACCCTGCCTGAGCAGGTGGCCCATGGCCCTCTGCTTGCTGGTTCTCCTCCCTGGCCACACACCGCCCATCCTCTCGCTCCAAGAGGCCCAGGAGCCGACTGGCCAGGACTGGCCAGGGGAGAACCGGGTCTTCAGCCACCATCGCCAATGCCCAGGGCTACCCACAGGGGCTGAGACACACAGTCCCACAGCTCCCCCTCGACAGCACAGGGGCTGCGTGGCTGGCACAGCTGCCAGGCCCTGGGGTGACACCCTCACCCACACTTCCGGGAGCTGGGACTCCTAGTGAGACTGCTTCACACCTCCCAAAGCATTGGGCTTTGCCCACCCTAGGCCCCTCCCATCGGGACACAGAAAGGGCCATGGCCACAAGGCATCCCAGTGCCGCAGATCTGCTGGCAATGTCCTGCTCCCTTCCCTGAAACCACAGCTTGGTGCTCACCCCCAGCAGTTCCAAGCTGATGGAGCCCACAGCTTGGCTCCAGGGAGGGGCACATCTCCAGGCCTGGCCGCCCCTGCCACTGTGACGGGCACAGGGGTTGCCATGGGACGCAGGCAGCCAAGGAGCATGTGGCAGAAGTGCAGCTCAACTCCTGTTCTCCTTCCGCTGGGGTGTCAGCCCCCACCGCCTGGGCCTCGCCGAGCAAAGCTGCGACACAGTGGTGACAAAGCGATGCTCTGACTCCCCTTGTGCCCCTGATCAAACTATGCCTGAAATCCACATAACTTGTGGACTTTGGTTACACAAGTCTGTAAATTGCCATATGAAAAATTGTGGCTGGGCATGATGGTGCAGGCCAGTAATCCCAGCACTCCGGGAGACTGAGGTATGAGGGCCACAAGCTCAAGCCCAGCATGGGCAACTTAGTGCGACCCTGTCTCAAGTTAAACAGTAAACAGGGGGCCAGGGATTTAGCTCAGTGGTTTCACCACCTGCTGTGCAAGCGCAAGGACCCAAGTTCGATCCCCAGTACCAAAAAAATAAATAAATAAAATAATAAACAGGGGCTGGGGATGCAGCAATGCCTAGTAACACAGAAAAATAATAAGTAATAAATGAACTGTGGCAAAATAAACATAAAATGTATCATTCACACAGTAGCCATGCAGCCTGGTGGCATTAAGTACAGTCACACTGCTGACTATCGCCACAGACCAATACACCCAGGCCAAAACCTTGCGCCCTTTAAATGACCTCTACTCCCTCTCCCCAGCCCCTGGCGACCACCATTCTACTGGCTCTGGACTTTTTTATGTCTCCGTAATTTCAACGACTCCAGTATCTCCCTGAGTGGTGCCCACACCCTGCCTGTCACCAGGTGACTGCTCAGCCTGGGTCCTCCAGCTCCTGTGCAGCGTGGCCCAGAGCCCTCTCCCCTCCCAGCTGAAAACGCTGTCACGTGTGTGTCACGATTTGCCTGCCCATGCGGCGAAGGGCATCTCGGTTCCTTCTACCTCCCTCCGTGAACACACGGTGCAGACACTGCTTCTGCAGCCTGAAGCAGCAGGCTGGAGTGAACGCCTAGTCCTGGGCAAGAGCGGCGCGTGGTTCTGCAGAGCCACTGGGGCTGGTACCTGGCTGAGGCGGATCCTCCCCAGGAACAGCAGAGTGGGGGAACAGCCTGTGCAGACGCCTAGCACCCCAAGGACTGGCCACCCCTGAAGACGATGTCCCAAGGGGTCTGGCCCAGTGACCCCAGGGTGCCCAGTGAGGGGAGGCATCGTGGCAACGGACCCAGCCGGCCTGGGACGGGGCAGCGGCCTTCACAGCGGAGCCCTGGGAGGCACCACTGCCTCTGCTCCGGCACAGCCTGTAAGCCAGCACCCCCAACAATACACCCTGCACAGCCTTCTCCTCATCGCTGCAGGCAACTTCTGCGGAGAGCGGAGAGCCAGAGTCCATGGGTCACCTGGAAGCCACCCTGGGGATTCCAGAGACCCCGAGAGGCTGCCACGCAATGTAAGCAGTCCTGGCCACACCATGCTCTGAGAGGATCATCGGGCTGAGGCCAGGCCTGGGAGGGCGGGGGTGCAGCTCCGCAGTGAGCACTTCCGAGCACACACAGGCCGGGTTCATCCCCAGCACAGACCCTGGCCAAAATACAGCAGAGCTCAGTCTCCTGCAGAGCAAATGCTCAGGTCCAAGCGGAGGACGTTCTATCAGCAGCACCAGCCAGGCACACAAGGGGAGGCGAGGGCCGGTCCAGGCAGAGGAAAACTAAGGCACCCGAAGGTCACGAGCCCCCAGGCAGGGCCGGACAACATTGCCACCCGCAAGGGCACAGCAGCCGGGCGCTGAGGTCAGGCACAGTGCTGCAGGTGCGGGAGTCAGGACGTCCTCCAGCAGCTCACAGGAAGCGGGAGGGAGGGGGGAGGAGAAGAGAGTTAATCGTGTCCAGGCTGTGTGTGGGAGGAAAGGAGGAAGAGCCAGGCCATCGTGAGCCACACGCAAAGTCGCAGACTGTGACCCTCCCCAGGAGATGCCGCCGGGGGGCGGGTCTGAGGCAAGGTTGACCTGCAGCTGTGCAGGGCTGGGCGCGGGTTTACAAGCAATGCAGTGGCGAATGCACACTGTAACCACGCTACAAGCCGCTTTAACTGGGTGAGCACAAGGTACATGAATAATATGTCAAAAAGCGGACATATTATTGGGGGGAGGAAGGGGAAAGAGAAGTAAAAAATTAAGGTGTGCTATGTACATGGACCAACTGCCCCACAAATGCAATCATTATTACTGCAAACATGTCCTAATAAAAATTCCCAAAAATGAACACTGGGAGTCCCACAAAGGCCTCGAGGGCACTCATCACACAACAGAACTTTTCCATAACGGATCCCAGCACACCCGCATGCCGGCGCCAGCCTCATGCCTTTCCATCCCGGGCGCCGCCGCCAAGGACCACGCCAGAAAGCTGGGCAGGGCCTCCAGATCTGTTCTCTGTCATCCTCGCCTCCCTCTCCCGGGCAGAGGACACCCGGGCATGGTGCTGTTGTGCCCACTGAGCCCCCACTGAGCCCAGCACACTGCGGCTCATCACCCCGAGCTGTATAGCTCATCACCCCAAGGGAACAGAGCTTTAGGGACACGGCTAGACTGTCACCCGCAGCCCTGGGAGCTGGCCTCAGAGTTGTGTCAGAAGCCACATTTCTACCCCAGGGCTCATGGGGGCTCAGCTTCCCCACCCAACTGTTCCCCGGGCCCCTGCTTCTAGGCCCTGGAGGGCAGGGCTGAGAGCCCCTGGCCACGCCAGCCAGGCTCCAGCATCCACTGGGGGGCAGGCTCAAGCCCCAGGGAGAACTCGCTTTATCAACACATCCTCCCCCACCTACAAAAGTGAATGCCCAGACAGCTTTGGGGGTTCTGGAACCCCCTGAAAAGCCTCAGAGCTCGGGGGACCAGTCCCAAAGCCCTCTGTTTCCCCCTCCCCTTGGTGAGCGCCTCCTGAGGTTCCTACCAGACTTCTGGTTCAGCTCCTTATCCCACCCCACCCCACCCCCACCACTTCCTGGAGCGATCCTAGGGTAAGCACCTCCGTGTCCCACTCCACACGGGAGGACACTGAGGCAGGGGACCCAAGAAGCCCAGCAAACCCACTGCGCCTGCGAGCCAGGGCCCCAGAGTCCAAGGCTCCCAGGCCGCACACCCAGAGGCCCACCTCTGCGAGCGATCTCCGCCTGCAGCAGCCCCTCTATGGCATCCGACTCGGCCAGGTCCAGGGCCAGGTCCCCGTCACTGTTGACAGCAGCGATGTTGGCCCCATGGCTCAGGAGGTACCTGGGGACGGGAGGTCAGGGCTGCTGTCCAGGAACGGCACCCACTCCAGGACCGCCTGCACACCCTCGCCTCACCTGGCGATGTCCAGGTAGCCACAGGAGGCGGCCACGTGCAGGGGCGTCCAGCCCTCGTTGTCCGCCTGGTTCACGGTGGCGCCCTGCTCCACCAAGAAGCGGACGACCTCCAGGTTCTCGTCAATGCAGGCCTGGGGGTGGGGACAGGCGTCAGCCCTCATCTCTCCAGCAACAGGGCTCGGCAGGGTAGATCCCAAGGCCCAGTGTGAGTGATGGTGGCCTTGCCACCCCAGGGCAGGGTCAGCTGGCATCGGGAGCTTAAAGCAGGCCACAGCGGGCAGGGAAGAGACAGGGCTTCTCCTCCTGGCTGGGCTCCTGAAGGACCCAGAACCCTGTTACAGCCTGCAGGACAGGTCGCCCAGGCTCAGCCTCTCCTCGCTCAGACCCAGCAGGGCCAGCCACGAGGCAGGCCGCAAACACCCGCAGACTCACTCCAGGGACGGACCCTGAGGGGAGGCCAGGATTGTGCTGGGCTTGTGAAACCCGAGGGGTGGGCAGGCTGTGCCCCAGAGCCAGGCTGAGGGCTGTTCCACACAGGGTGCAGGATGAGGGGACACGGGCACGTCTTCTAGGAACGCTCCCTCAGGAGACCAAGGCCCTCCCCAGGCAGGCACGGCACACAGCAGTCAGCCTGGGGGCCAGGTGGGCACTGGGACCTCAGCCCAGTCTGACGGGGGCTCCTGGGTCCTCGGGGTAAATTAACCCTCCAACTCCCTCACCTCCCCAAAACCACCTATCTGGAGAGGAGGAAGCTATGAGGGCCAAGAGCATGAAGTCATGGAAACTCAGGCCGCCAGAGGGGGCCACGCGTGCCCTGGGAACGGGATGAACTCTGGGCTCCGTTTATTTCCACTTGGTTGTCATGGCGATGGGAGGGGGGGCAAGGAGGGAGCCAGGCCTTTCCCTTTCAAGGACCTGGCCCAGCACAGGCATCCATGTGAAAGATGCCTGCGGCCTGGGCACCGGAACACAGGAGTCCAGGCCCTGGTCCTCCATCTGAGCCTGGGGTCTAGAGCCCTGGTCTCTCCCAGTTCAGACCTAAGAATCCAGGTTCACAATCTGGAATCAATGGCACATACCTGTAATCCCAGCATCTGAGAGGCTTCAGCAGGATGACTAAAAGTTTTAGTCTCTGCTGTACAATTTAACAAGACCTTATCTCAAAATTAAAAGGGATAGGGATGCAGCTGAGTGCAAAGGCTCTGGGTTCAATCCCGAGTAACACACACACACACAATCTTGGCTCCCAGTTCCTCCTATCCTAGTCCTGACCCAAAGGCCAGCCATTAATATGCAAGACAATGGGGGGTCCTCCACCAGCCTTGCAAGGGTAGATGAACACCTCAGGTAGAGGCTGAGGCAGGTGGACCCAGGGACCACACCACAGTAGAGGGCTGATGTTGGGGACCAGCCCCTGGGAGGGAAACCAGCTGAAAGTCTGGAGTCCCTCAGCCCAACTGTCCCTACTTTCTGGGAGCAAGGGTTTTCCTGGATCCCAGGATTTTTAGTGCTGAAACCAGGTCAGTCCTAGGCAAACAGCATTAGCTCATTACCCTGCCCCCCTCTCGCTGGCCCTGTGACTGAGATAGGAACCTTCCCTCTCTGAACCTCAGTGGCCTGAATCCTCAGGTCTTCAGAAGGCCCTGAGTGAATTCATCAAGAGCCACCACAGTGGGAGGAAGTCCCACCCGGCCAGCAAGGCCAGAGAGGCCTCTTGCAGAGTCCAGACCAGAAGGATGGTCTGGGCCTCCGGGGAACCCTGAGGAAGGGGCGTGGTGTGAAGAGCAGGGCTGGAAGGCCCTGTGGGGAAGGGCCAGGAGGGTGGAAGGGGAGGAGAGGAGACACCACAGCCTGAGCCCTCTCCTTGGCCGTGAGGATGGTAGGCCTGGGGGGGGCTCAGGGAAGCAGGGCCTGCTCCGGGTAGAGGGGGTGTCCCAGGCAGAGCTGGGAAAAGAGAGGAGGGCAGGGCAGCGCCTCTCTGAGAGCACACATGTGAACCTCCTTTCCCCAAGCCCCGCTGGGGGATTCACTACTGGCCCATTCTGAGGTGGAAACGAGAGGCACATCGAGGAAGGACACCCAAGGGACAGACATCAGAACTTGAGACAGGTCTCTGGGTCTCAACACTCTGTTGTCCCTCTTCCTGAGAATTTGAAAACTGGGCCCTGTCAAGAGCATTTTCTTCTCCACCCCAGCCAAGCTCTCTTTCCAGGGTCCCCTCTGGCCTCGTCAGTAACCAAAGGTCAGGGGCTTTAGCAAGAAAGAAGGGCACAAGATGACTCAAGGCAGCAATCAGAGCGTCCTGGAGGGAACAGAGGGTTTGGAGAGGGGCACCTGGGAAGACAGCCTGACAGGACAGAGAGAAGCTGCCCAAATAGAAAGTGGTGACTCAAATCCACAGAAGGAGCAGTGTCTGGGTAAGATGGCCAAGAGGGCTGAGAAGCGGCCCGAAGCCAGGGAGAGGGGTTGCCCTTAGGTTGCCCAGAAACACGGCAAAGACGAAGGCCTAGCCTGGTAAAAGAGAAGGTGGAGAACAGAAGCATGCCTAGGGAAGGCCCACGGTGGGAGATAAGAGGTGGCACAGCTCCCCAAAGGAGGGTGAGGAGAAGCATCTGAGTTAAGAGGACATGGGGCTGGGGTGGGGAAGAGCACTAACGGAGGTGACCCAACGCGGGAAGCATCTGCTTCAGGAAACACGGTGCTACAGAGTCTACAAGGAAGTGACTCGGGAAAGATCATCCTTAGGCAGCAACAAACAGCACAGGCCTGGGAAAAGAGAGGCCAAAGGTGACAGGGGCTCTAACCAGAGATGCCCCAGGCCAGAGACTGCGGGTGGGCGGGGGCACCGGCCAAGGGCGGAGAGAGATGCCACCCTTCCCTTGAAAGAGGCAAGGGGGGCGTAAGAGGGACGCGGTACAAGCCCGGGAAAAGGATGACAGCATCAAACGGCACAATCGGGGCGGCACAGACAGGCGAGCAAAGGGCGCTCAGGGTCTGGAAGAGGGCAGCGCGGAGCGGCACCGAGCAGGACGCATGGTGGACCACAGCGAGCCACAGCTCGGGCCCAGGGGAGGGCAGCGCAGAGGGGCAGAAACAGGAAGGGGAAGAGCTGGAGTGGGTCGGCCAGGGATGGCGAGCGGGGCTCACGACGGTGGGCAGCGGCGGCCTCGGAGCACAGGACGCTGACCTGGTGCAGGGCGCTGATGCCGTCGGCGTTGGTGGAGTCGAGCACGGCGAGGGCGGGCGGCGGGGCGGCGGGGTCTGGGTCTGGCTCGGCGCAGGAGCCCGGCTCTGCCGCACGCAACATCAGCAGCGCCTCGTCCAGGTCTCCGCCCGCGCAGGCCGCCAGGAACTCGGCGGCGCGCTCGAAGCGGACCGTGCGGGCGCGCCGTTCCCTGAGGCCCGGCTCGGCGCCCGGCTCGGCGCCCGGCTCGGCGCCCGCCCGCGCCCCCCACTGTCGCAGTTGCTCCTGCCGCCGTTCGCGGGCTGCCGCCGAGGCCCCCGGACCGCCTGCCGGGCCATCCTCCCCAGACATCGCGCCGCCCGCTCGCCCAGCGAGCGAGCGAGCGAGCAAACCCCACAAGCGCCGCCGCCGACCGCCCGCCCCTGGGGCCGCCGGGAACTGCCGTTTGCCCCACCCCGCCCAGGGAGTCGCGACCCCGCCCGGGGCGTGACGTCACGCTGCCGCCCCAGGGCACGCTGGGAAATGGAGTCCGCATCGTGGAGAAGGGAATGGCGGTCGCCTAATAGGGTAGGGGCGGGGCAGGAGGCCGACAGCGATTCGTGCTGGGAAATGGAGTCTATCAGGAAGTTACTTAAACTCGCTGTCCCGCAAGGCACTCTGGGAAGTTTGAAACTCTAAGGCGTCAAATGGAAACGGGCTGGGTAAAGGCACGCCCGGAGGAACGCAGGGAAACAAACACTAGAGGGAGAAGAGGGGCCCCGGGGCCTGCAGGGAAATGTAGTCCCCCCGTTTAAAGGGCACAAGACAGGACCCCCCCCACACACACACACACAAGGCCTGGTGGGGAATGACGGCCAGATAGGAGGGAGAAGGAGGAGCCCAAAAAGGTATACTGTAGAACTAACTTTTCCCTACATCTTATCAAATTTCTACAGGCTATTTTGGTTCTTTTATCTGCCTCCTTCAACTAGAAATAACCTCCAAGAGGGCATGGATTTTTGACTTCTGTGTCCACTACCTAGTCCTTGTCTCGGGCTAAGCTTACGAATAGGAAGGAAAATACTTTTGAATGAATGAATGAATGGACTCCCTAGATCATGGGAAAAACCAGAGCCCCGTGGGAAATTGAGTCTTTAACGCGCAAGTCGTTAAAGACCATCACTCCCAACCTCTTCCGTGACCGCCCGGGGCATGCTGGGAAATACAGCGTGGGGCAAAGTTCCGGGCCCTCTTCCAACAACCTAGTGCACGCTCGAAAATGTAGTCCACGACGCTATGCCCCAAAGGCCCACCTCGTCCCGAGCGGGGTCCAAAGCACCTTAGGAAATCAGGGTCCAAGGCAAGAGAAGGCCCAAGGCCCTAATGGCATTCCTTGACTCACAATGGGGAAAGGCACCCAAGCGGCTAATTCTCAATGACAGTACCCTCCTGGCCCACCCCGGGCCATGGAGCACCCTGGGAAGTGTAGTCTAGGCTCTAGCACACTCTCATGACCTGCTGGGATTTGTAGTGCACAGCAAGGGTCTCCAGTAGGTTTGGAAGCTCAGCCTTCTTATAATAGAACGAAGAGATAAGCACCCTTTGACCCTGACTTTAAGTGTCCTGCCCCTAAACCCAAAACAAGGAGGATAAAAACACTCTGGGACAAAACCCCACAATAATCACAAAAAAAGCTTCCAAAATCTGGAGACAACAAAGTTTTCCCCAAAAGAACACTGGAGTTGCCAATCCGCTCTGAAGTCCTCGGGCTTGTGCAGAAAAATAAATTACAAATCCCTTGAGTCCTGGGAGGGCTGGCCTTAGTCATAAGGAGATACTCCTGTGGCTCTTGGCTTGTGGGGCCCCTCAATAGACACTTTCCACACATGCACACCAACACCCTCCCTCAGGTGCAGGTACTAAATCTTACATGTGTTATTGTGCCCAGAATAATTGTGACATGTTATAATTGTGTATTTGCAATCCTGTCTGTGGCTATGTGTGTTATGAATGTTTATGTTTTCATGACTACAATTACTTGCAGATAACACAGGTTACCTGGTTGACCTACACCACCTATTGATCTGTGGGGTGAGCTCTGACCATAAACTTTTAGGAATCTTTAGTTTGACCGCTAGGTTTAGGCTTTGACTTTATTTGTTTGCTTGTTTGCTTGTTTGTCTTATAAGACAGAGTCTCACTATGTAGCCCAGGCTGGCATCTAATTCTCAGCAATCCTCCTGCCTCAGTCTCCCATGTGCTGGGATCGAAGGCATGCACTACCACACCCAACTTGCCTGCTATTTTTAGATTCCTATTCTACTACAGTGGTTAGGAATTCCTGCTCTGTATTTCACCATCTTGGGTTTGAAACTCATCTCTGCTACTTCCTGGGACCAGAGGCTAGTCTCCATCTCAGCCTCCTACAGTTGTAGACATGGTGTAGATGAGCTCTCAGACACACAGGTGACTCCGTGGCTGTGTGCAGGAACCTTCACCTGCCACTTGATAAGACTGTCTCCTGTCTTTCTCTTTGTGTTGTTGCTGGGGTTTTTCGAGACAGGATCTCACCATGTAGTTCAGCTGGATTTGAACTACTGTGTAGCCCAGGCTGGCTTTGAACTCAGTGATTCTCCTGCCTCAGCCCCTCAAGTGCTGGGACTACTGGTGTGCCCCACCACAACCAGCTTGTCCTTCTCTTTTTGATGGTGAAGGTTCATTCGCTTCTTTGGCCGGCTGTTTCCTCTCAGCTCTAACAGTGGAATTTCAGTGCTTAGCCTGAGAACTGGAGACGGCCCCTGCTGGTGAAAATAACCTCAGAAAGCTGAGAAGCGGGTGTTCCCTCTTCCCTCATGATGCCACAGAAACTCTCATCTGCCTGTCCGTGCACACACAGCGAGCAGGATGAGCCTGCTCCGATCTGTCATTTCACAGCTGTCCCCAGAAGAGGTCCTTCGACAAAGGAACAGTCTGACTTGAGGAAGGAATTCTATCTTTAGAAACACAGACGGTGGAGCTGCCTATGGCTGTCAGAACCCTAAAACTGAGTCCCCAGACACACAGCCAGGAAGGAGGCTTTGACATAATTAGTCTTCCTAAGAATGGCATTGTCCCAGTGGTCACCTCCAGGTGCCATATGGGAACAGAAAGAAGCCCTCCCCCAGGCAGGGCCAGGGCCACCACGATTGCAGAAAAGGATTGGATTCCAGTGTGTAAAACCACATTTTCACACTTGGGCCCAATGTCCCACGCCTGTATTCCCAGCACTTGGGAGGCTGAGGCAGGAGGACCGCTCCAAGGTTTTGTTTGTTTGTTGAGACTGGGTCTCACTATGTAGTTCAAGCTGTACTTGAACTAACTATGTAGCCCCGGCTGGCCTTGAACTCACAGCAATCCACCTGCCTCAGCCTCCCAAGTGCTGAGATTCCAGGTGAGCACCACCATGCCCAACTTGTGTTTATTGCTATTATCACACTTCCCCTCTGTGGATTCAGGGCACAGGGAGCAGCTGTTTGATGTGTTTGTGCGCAGGGTGGGAGGCCACCCAGAGACAGAGCCAAGCCTGCACAGAGGTCTGCCCTGACCCCCGATGCCGAGGTAATGTCTGAGTTCCATGTGCAGGCCTGTGTCCTTTCGCTGTGCACCTGAGTGCGACAGGTAGAGGACTGCTACCTCCAGACCCCGACCTGGTGTCGCCTCCCTCAATGACTGAGCCGATTTTCCTGGGATGGAAAAGCCCCAGCTAACTAAAGGTCAGGACAGTGTCCCAGTCTCCTCCACAGCAAGAGGAGGACAGTGAGACAGCTCTGTCACAGCACTGACTCCACCGAAGGGTGCACATTTCTGGCCTCTTGCCTTTGCCAGTCTTTCTTCCTGGCAAATGTATGTGCTTGCTGGAGCTCTGGCAATCGTGTTGCAAGACAAGCTGCCTGTAGCAGACAGAGAAGCGGTAGTTTCAGTGACGGGCGCCAAGGGAGAGACTGCCCCAGCAGCAGAGCCCTGGATTTGTGTGTGCACGTGTGTGTGTGTGTGTGCGCATGTGTGTAGTACTGGAGACTGAACCCAGGGCCTTTGCACTGAGGTACAGCCTCACCCAGTTGCTAATTTGCCCAGGCTGGGCTCAAACTTGCAATCCCTCTGTCTCAGCCTCCCTGAGTGCTAGGATTACAGTGTTATACCAGCACACCCAGCTGGAACCCAGACTTTAAGTGGGGTTCAGCAGGCCGCCTAGGATAAGTTACACTTCCCAGCATCCCCTGCACCTGAGTAGGGCGAGGTGTCTGTGAGGGCAGTGAGACAGGGAGCAAGTCTGAAGTTTGGGGTGGACAAGCCATGTTCACCCTTCCATCTGTGACAGGCACTCGGGCTGGGTCTACCTCCGGAAAGGATGGGGCTGTGAACGGCGAAGGGCAGGTTTTGCGTGTGTACAAGCTTTCAGTTCCCATGGGTGCTGCCAAGCAGAGGAACTGCTGGGCCCTATGTGAAGTCTGCTTCCGTCTGGAGGAGCCCACCGCTGCCCATGTGGTGCTCCCACCAGCGTGCATGAGGTTTCACCAGGACACTTGGTTTGGTTTGGTTTGGTTTGGTTTGGCTTATTTGAGACAAGGTCTTGCTATGGAGCCCAGGCTGGCCTTGAACTCACAGGGATCCTCCTGCCTCAGCCTCCTGTGTGGTGGAATTGCAGGTGTGCACCACCATGCCCAGCTTCATTTTCCTGATTGTTCATGACTCTCCCAAGCGATAGCCACTTGTGATCATGAATCAGCCATGAGTGGCCAGCTGCGTATTAATAACAAGGTCAGAGCGCTCAGCAGGTGCTGCAGGGAGAATGTTTATTTCAAGCTACTGATGAGACAAACTCTGACAGCTCCCGGTGGCCCCAGGGGTCACATCCAGGGGCCCTCACTTCCAGCGGCCTCCGACGCGGCCCTTTCCTGCACCCTTCCGGCTGGGGGGAGGACGCGAAGTCAGAAGGGGCTCCGCAGGCCCCTGTCCCAGAAAGCCCACCCCCAGGAGATGGCAAAGGCCTGCAGGTGGCCACGCCAGGCGAGGCACAGGCTGGGGCTGCTGGCTTCGTGGCAGGGGAGAGCTGTGGTGAGTTCCAGGCTCACCCGGGGCTGAGCCCATCATGAGGAAGGGGTGGGGGCCACCCCAGGGGTAGGGATGGGGCAGGGCACTGAGCGGCCCACTAGCTGCCAGCACCTCCCTCCAGCCAAAGCTGCTCTGGCGTTGCCAGCTGTCCCCAGGGCCCACGGTCTCCATCTCCACCGCCACAGGAGCCAGGGTTTTCCCGGGATGAGGGTGGGGTGGAGCCGCTGGCTCCCAGTCACACTTACAACTTCTGAGCGTGGCTGATGCGGTTGTACAGCACATTGATCTGGGGACAGAGGGACAGGCTGGGACAGCCCCGGGCACAGCGCCCACCCCGCCGGCCCAGCGCCCGCACAGGCGGCTCCCACCTCGTATTTCTGCTGCTTCAGCTTCGCCATCAAGTCGAACTTCTCAGACTCCAGCTGGTGGATCCAGTCTGACAGCTCCTGGGCCTTGTCCCTGAAGCACAGGGCAGTGACGGAGGACAGGACCGAGGATGGGGCAGGGACGAGGGGAGCCGGGTATGGCCAGGCCCAGAGGCACTGGGGTCCTGGGCCCCGCGGGGCTGGTCACAGGGACAGGAGGGACAGAGCCTGTACTGCAGCCTCCTCCTGGGAGGATGATCTATCTTTCTTTCTTTCTTTCTTTCTTTCCGTTCCTTTCCTTTCTTTCCTTTCTTCCCTTTCTTCCCTTTCTTCCCTTTTCTTCCCTTTTCTTTCTTTCCTTCCTTCCTTCCTTCCCTCCATGGGAAATGGTAGGGGCATTGAACCCAGGGCCTTTGCACTGAGCTACGTCCCCAGCTTTCAGCATTTTTTTTTACTACTGCACAAGCTGGGTTGGAACCCAAGATCCTCCTGCCTCAGCTTCCCAGAGTGCTGGGATCACAACTATGCGCCACCACCCCTAAAGTACACAGTGAAGCCCCTGAAGCAGAAGCCTTGGGTGGCTCCTGCTGATTCACAGGAGGCCGTCCTGGCCCAGAACAGAGAAGGGACAGGAGCTGGAAAATGCTACCTCAGAGACAGGGCGTGTGCTGAGCACTGTGCACATCGTGAAGGAACAGAGTCCTCCACGTCTGGGAGCCTCACCTGTGTCACCGGTGAGACTGTGCTCAAGGATGCAGGGCCCACGGGGCCCATGGGCCAGTCACCCAGCACCAGGGCTCCCTATCACTGGCCAGGACCACACTGAGCCTCCACACTGACCTGAGCTGCTCCTCGCCCATGTGGTCGATGTTCAGGGGCTTCTTCCGCTCAGACAGGATCCGCAGCTTCATCTCCCGCCCAGTCTGCCGCTTCCCCCGCTTCTGCTCTGCCTGAGAAGAGGGGCAGGGGACTTAGCCTGCAGGTGCCACCCAGGTCAGCTCCCCAGCTGTCTGACGGGACAGCACTCCCCAGACAGGAGTCTGCACCTCGGCCTCCGCCCTCCAGAACCCAAAGCCCAGGCCTTCCCTCACTCCTCCCTCGAACACAACCCTCAGGCTTCCCAAGCCGCACTCACCTTGACCAGGTAACCCCCGAAGTGGGCCCCCATGTTGGACAGCACTTTCTTCTTCTTGGCATCGTCCTCTGCTCGCTTCTTGGCCTCCTCCTCCTCCTTCCGCATCTTCTCCTCCTGCAGGACCAGAGGCTCAGCCAGGCACCTCCAGACGGAGGGCAGAGGCCTGGCTGAGCAAAGTGGGCAATGCCAGGCCCGTGAGACCACTCATTCTGTCCCCCAGCCCACAGTGGCAATAGGCAGCTCTGCTGTGTAACCTCCATGCAGACGCTGCACGTCTCTGGGCCTCAGTCTCCCTTTGCCAGGGGAGATGATGATGCCTGTCCTCTTAGGTCAGAGCAGGGACTCAGCGGGCAGAGGAGGCTGATGCCACAGTGCCAGGCTCAGAAGCTGTAGGGCTCGACTGGCTCCCGTCCCCACGGGGGCGGGAGGTGGGGGCACGGTATCCTACACATCCCACACCCCTACTGTAATTACTTTCTTATCATCACTGTACTTTGCACATTTGGTGGCCAAAGATAATGTGATTTTCTTTTTGGGGGGTGGTGGTGGGCAGTCAACCCAGGGCCTTTGCACTAAGCTACATCCCAGACCCTTTTTTATTTTGTCACTAAGTGGCTAAGTTGCCCAGGCTGAGGTCCAACTTAGCATCCTCCTGTCTCAGCCTCGAGTGCCAGGATGGCTGGGGTGCAAGCTGTTGCACAGTTCTGCAGGCCAGAACTGGGGGCCTCCTGGCTCCTCCCCAGATTCCAGAGGAGACTCCACCCCTGTGTCCCCTACAGGAGGGCAAGATGGGCCTGCGGCTCCTCCCCCATCTTCCATCTTCAAATCTCCTGGCTCTGCCCCTCCTGCCTCTCCATCCAGAGGGCCTTGTGATGACCTGGGGCACCCGGATGATGCAGGGCAGTCTCCCCATGTCAAGGTCTTTGCTGGCCTAGTGGCACACACTGGTGATCCTAGCATTCTGGGAGGCTGAGACAGGAGGATTGCTCCTCACACACACCCGCCAGCCCCATGAGGCTGCCACACGGTGTGGCACCTCCCAGGTCTGCACAGGAGACAGGCTAATGGCCGAGGAGCGAGGATAAGTGGCCACTGCAGATCCCCAGGATTTCCTGGGCTGGACCAAGAGGAACTGGTCAGCCTGGTATTCTCAGAAATGGCGAAATGTTAGGAGAAAAGTGCAGTTTTTGCATCATCCTGTGAGTGCCTTGATCTAGCCATGCCTGAAGCTAGCCCTTGACCTTATGTATTAGGCAATGAAGTCCCCTTGCTGGGGTTTCCATCCCTTCTAACAGAAAGATCCTTAGGTCACACAGAAGAGGGGCTTTCTCAGAAGCACAGAGAGGATCAGAAAAGGAAATACAGTCCTAGAAGAATAAGTAACATCGGCCTCCCCAGGAGGGGCGGCACCCACCGCCAGCTTGGCCTGCCGCTCGCGCTCCTTCTCAGTCCTGAAGCGCTGCTGCTCAGCCCTCTCCGCCCGGCGCCGCTCCTGGGGAAACAGGAGAGTGAGGGATGCAGAGACGGCCCCCAGCCAGCCAGCCTCTCCAGGTGGGTCACACCTGTGATCCCAGCACTCAGGAGGCTGAGGCAGGAGGACCACAAGTTGGAGCCCAGCTTGGGGAATTTAGCAATTTATTGAGATCTTGTCTTAAAATAAAAAATAAGCTGGAGATTTAGCTCAGTGGTGCCACTGCCTGCCTCGCAAGCACAAGGAACCGAGTTCGATCCCTGGTACCAAAAAAAGAAAAAAAAGTCATAAAATAAAAAATAAAAGGGCTGGGGATACAGCTCAGTGCAGAGGCCCCAGGTTCAATCCCCAGGATGGACAAGACCCAGGAGACAGGCCTGAGGCCCTGGATGGCCCACTTACAATGCGATCCTTCAGCGCCACCAGCTCCTCCTCCTCCTTCTTGCGCTGCTCAAAGTGCACGTCGATGAGCGTCTGCAGCTCCAGGAGGTCCTTCTCCATGCGCTTGCGGTGGATGTCCTGGGGGACAGCGAGGGATGGCCCGGGCTGCCGCACTGGCCTCACAGGTACCCAGCAGGGGCAGGGCCCACTAAGGTGTGGTGCCCGGGTGGTGCTTCTACTTACATCAAAGTCCACGCGCTCCCCTTCTGGGATCTTGGGGGGGATCAACGGGGGCACCACTGGACGGCTGCGTGCAGAGGGCAGAGGCCATGAGCAGGGGACCCCCACCAGGGGGAAAACCTTCCCCACATGGGCCCACCAACTTCCCCAGCGAACACTCCTCCAAGTGGTGGTGCCCCAAGCTTTCACGATCCAGGGCCTTTGCATGTGCCTGGGCAGTTGTAGTCCTGTGGCCCCCTGTGCCTGGACTGTCTCCTTGTTTCCAAGCCCTATCCCAGTAGCACCTCCTCCAGCTCAAGGTGCTCACAGCAGAGCGGCCGGGTCTCACTGTCCCCTGCCTGCGCACACTGAACCACACACGCAGCCTCTCTGGCCCTGACCTCATCCGGCCCCACCAGCTGCCGCCTGCTCCCTGCAGGACTCAAAGTTCTGTCTGGCCTTGCCTGGGGTGGCCCTGGCCGGCCGGCAGGGGGCCCCAGAGGCTCGTTAAGGCTGGAGGGCGGGCGGCCGTCTCCTCACTTGCAACCCCTGTTCCAGTCGCACCCTGTCTCGGGGGTGGGGACACCTAGGAGGCTGGGCTAGGGACCCCACCCCCAAGCTCTCACCTTGGTTTGGGGCGCTCCTCTTCTGTTGGTGAGGGGGATACAAAGAGATCATTAGCAAGAGTCTAGGGGTGCAGCCCCCAGCCCCAGGAGCCAGGGAAAGACCCCCAAGTGCAGTTCTGGGGCAGGGCATGGGGAGAAGGGGTCAGGGAAGTCGGGAGCACAGACAGGAGGAGGAGAAGGGTCACACGCATCAGATATACATTCAGCACTGGTATGGGGACCCCCCCTTTCTGGAACCCAAGCGTCCAGACCCCCAGACCCGCCCGCAGGTATAAGGCAGACCCAGCGGCGAGGGACTCCCGTCCCTCTCGGCTAGGTGCCAGCCCCTCCCCCTCTGGGACCTGGCCACCCCCAGTTGTCCCCAACCTTTGAATGTATATGGCGGAGGCACGGGGTGGCGCTTCCGCAAACACCCAAGCCTTGCTGGAGCCCCGGGCGGGCGCGGTGGAAGGCTTGGGTGTCGGTCCCTTTAGGAAGGGAAAGGGCTGAGCCACGCGGACCCTTTCCCTTCGCGGCCACCAGGGGGCGCAGCGCCCGGGGCGTAAAGGGCCGGCGGGGGCGACCGGGCCCGACGTCACTCCCGGAGACGAAGCGCCGCGGTCACCTCGCTCTGCCTCCGGCTCCGGCTCCTCGGGGGCTGGCGGGGAGAAGCGGGACGGACAGCGGGGAGGCCAGGCGGGCGGAGACAGGGACAGTGTTAGAGGACAGTCGCCGGGACCCCGCCGCCGCCCGCCTCCCGCGGCTCACCTTCCTCCTCCTCCTCCTCGGCGGGCTCCTCCTCTGCAGGCGGAGGGCGCGTCAGGGGGCCCGCGCCAGGGCCGAGAGGGTCCCGGGGAGAGAGGGGCGGGGCGGGGGCGGGAACAATGTGTGGGGCGGGGGCGGGGCGGAGTCCAAGGGCGGGGGGGGGGGGGGGTGGGCGGGGCCGGTGGAGAAGGGGGTCCCGGGGGCGGGGCCAAGATGGGGAAGGGGGAGGGGCGGAGTCCAAGGGCGGGGCCAGGCGAGGTGGGGAGGCCCGGGTGTAGATGGGGGTCCCCGGGGGCGGGACCAGGGGCCGACTCCAGACCCAGTGTCCTCTCCGCCCAAGCCCGGTGTCAGATGCCAGGGCGACCTCGCCCAGGCTGCCCCATCCACTCACCTTCAGCCTGCTCCCTGGGGACCCGGGAGAGGAAAGGGGACAGTTAGACATCTAGGGCCTCCGGGGCTCCACTACCCACCCCGGTCCCTGTGGAACACAGCTCACTCCTCATAGTCCTGCTCCTCGGTGTCCGACATCCTGCTGGGACCTGAGGGCGACGGAGAAGAGTTTGAGGGAAGAGTTTGAGGGCCGGGCCAGGACCCTGGCCCTGAGGGAGGAGGCCGGGGTCACACGATCCTGTGGCTCCAGTGCAGCAGCAGGTGCACCCCGCCCCTCAGCACAGCTGTCCTCTTTTGTCCTCTGTCGGGTCTGGGGGAACCTGATCCTGGGGATTAGCGGCGTGGATGGGGACAGTGGCCTGAATACAATAGCTGCCCTACTGCAGTGCTATTTTGGGGCGATGTCATAGACGTGGGACAGAGGACATTTCCTAAGAAGGCCTGGGGGACAGTCAGTCACCCGGCCCTTTCCAACCTCTGCTGCTCTCCCCGCGGCTGCTTCTCCTCCCAGGGCTCCCCCTTTTCACCTTCGCCCCATCCATGACGGGTGAGCACCGTGGAGAACAGCCTCATCCTGAACCTGAATACTTAGGCCCCGATCCCTGTCAACCCCAGTCCGTGATGGTCCAGGCCTGGGCCCGGAAATCCTCAGGCCTCAGGTCCTATGCCTCCTAAACTGTAAAACCTCACGTTAGGAAACCCCAATAGGGCTGGGGATTTAGCTCCGTGGTTCCAGCGCCTGCCTCAAAAGCGCAAGGACCCAAGTTCGATCCCCAGTAACAACAAAAAAAAAAAAAAAAAAAAAAACCAATAAACCCCATACCCAAGCTCAAGCTCAGAGGCCCCATCCCTAAAACCCCATTTCTGAGCCCCTCCCCAGTTCTGATACCCTCAGAGTCTGAGCCCCAAACCCTAACATTCAGACTGTCTTGACTCCCAGCACAGATTTCTGCGCTCGCCCAGCCTTGCAACCTCTGCAGTCCTAAAGAGATACCCTAGATTCAGTAACCCCAAACCCACGGAGGCCCCGGTGCTCTTACCTGTAAGGCTGGGTGTGCAGAGCTGGAGGTGAAGGCTGGCTGGCCTGGGTACTGCGGCTTCCTGGGCTTTATAGGGGGACACAGCCCCGCCCCAGGGAGGTGACGCAGGGGGAGGGAGAGAACTCAAGGGCCCAGACTCCCAACTCAGGGAACGAACGCCTGGTCCTGCTCCAAGACCCCTCCCACCCTGCAGGTGCCACCTGAGCCAGGGCAGGGGCAGACGCAGGGGTTGCTCGTAGCACACAGCTTCTGAGCCTGGAGCCCTGGCTGGGAACCCAGTGGGGTCTTGGACAGTGCTTAGTGACAGAAGGGGCACAAGGGATGCTTCCTGCTTCCACTTCCCTGTCCCCTCTTCCTGTATCCCTCTGGCCACCACCTCTCCTTTCCCAAACCCACTTTCCGAGCTCCTGGCCTCCACCTCCAAGGCGGCTCTGAGTCTTTCTCTACCTCCCATCTCCCCCGTCTCTCTGCATCCCCCTCCCCACCCCCATCCCTTTGTCTGCCACCGGATTCCACCCTGGTGACAACAGGCGCTAAAGTGGAGCAGCAGGTGTGGCGGGCGGGGAGGGGGTGTCCCTTAGGCTCCCAACCCCCACCTGCATCTGACACTGCTCTTTTTGGTATCCTCCTCCCCTCCAGCCCAACTTAGACCTTACAGGACCCCCTGGGTTTTGCCTGCATTTCTGGAGTCCCTCGCACCTGCCTCCTTCATACTTGTCCGATTGGGGTCCCTATCTGGGCCCTGTCTCTGTCACTGTTCCTGCCTCTTTTTGCCTCTGTGTCTCTGGGTGTGTCTCCTTAGCTTGTCTACTTTTAGTTTGTTTTTGAGAGGTCTGGCAATGTATTCTAGGGTGACCTTGAACTCTTGGTGATCTTCCTGCTTCAGCCTACTGAATGCAGAGGATTATAGGCGTATGCCACCACTGGGCTGCCTGGCCCTTCCAGAGGGTCTCCCCCTGGCTGGGTTTCTTCTCTGGGGGTCTCCTTCATCTGTGTGCCTCTGGATAATCTGCTTCTCTCTTTCCACTGTTTGCCCTTCTTCCTACACATCGGTCCTTTCCTTTCCTCGATCTTTGGCCTCTGCCTCAGTTTCCCCATCTCTGCCTCCCCCTTTCTTTTAGCCTTGTATTTGGGGCACCATTGCAGATGACCAGGGACCACCCAAGCCCTGCATCCCAGCCTTCTTTCCCAGGACTGAGCCCCAGGGAGCACACGTGACCACTTCCTGCAGGAAGAACTTTTATTTCTCAGGGCTTTGGTTTCCCGAGGGCCTGGGCGGCTCAACCCTCAAACTTCTTCTTCCGGCCCTCCATGCCACTCAGGGCATCGATGTTCTTGCGCCAGTCGCCCACCTCCCGGTTCTCCTGAGGAGCAAGGTCAGAGGTCAGGGCTCTGGGCCCCATCGCCCTTCGCCCTCCAGCTTGTCCAAGGGCTCGGCTCTGGGCATTTGCCCAAAAATCTAGTTCTTGTGCCCTCAGACACTCTGTAGTAATGAGGCCCCTTTGAAGTTGCTTTTTCTCCCCCTGAAACAGTGAGGTTGGATAAAAGATTGGGATTGCACACCTGCAATCCCAGCACTGGGCAGGCAGAGGCAGGAGGATGGCAAGTTCAATCCCAGCCTGGGCAACTTAGAGAGTTAGCAAGACTCTGACTCAGAATAAAATAAAATAAAATAAAATAAAAAAACAAAATGGGGCTGGGGATGTAGCTCAGTCCAAAGTCCCTGAGTTCAATCCCCCATACTTCAAGAAAAAAATATTCCAGCTTTTTACGATGTTTGGTTCCAGGCCACCCTGGAGCAACGGCTTGAAGTCTCCAAACCTGCAATCTCAGCAGTTCCAGTTCCAGAAAAGAAGAGCCTCTTGGACCACCCCGTGGCGAGGTCACCCCCCCCCCAGGCAAGAACAGTCACCCATGTGGTGCGAGCAGAATGGCCCCTAGAACTCCAGGACACTTCCGGCAGTATGGAAATACTGTATGGAAATTTCCTGCCTTCTGTGATATTCTTTCTTTCCTATTTCTCTTCCTCTTCCCTTCTTGCATCCCTCATATACTCCCTGTCTCCTTCACACAATTCCTCTTTCCCTCATACATCTTGGTCTCCCACATACACTTCTTGTCTCTCATAGTTTCCTATCTCCCTCGTGTACTTCCTGCTCCTCACTCCCACACTTCCTGTCTCCCACACACACTTCTCTTTATTGTATAGTCCTATGTTTCTCTTCTTGCCTTCCTCATGTACTTCTTTTCTCCATCATGGACTTCCTGTAGCCCTCAGATTCCTCCAGGCTCCTGGCTTCTTCCCTAAGGCACTGTCTTTCTGGGTCTTTTTTTATTTTTTTCTTGTTTACTTTTTGTTTTTTGATTGCTTGTTTGTTTTTTTGGTACTGGGGGTTGAACTCGGGTCCTTGCACTTGCGCAGCAGGTGGCGAAACCACTGAGCTAAATCCCCGGCCCTATGTTTTGTTTTTTGAGACAGGGTTTCGCTATGTAGTTCAGGCTGGCCTCAAACTTGCAGTGATCCTCCTGCCTCAGCCTCCTGAGTGGTGGAATTACTGGTGTGCACCACCACACCTGGATTCCCCAGTCTGTTTTAATTAAGGTGTTGGGGATTAAACCCAGGGCCTCACACATGCTAGACAAGACTGTACTCCTGAGCTGTATCTTCCTCTCCTCTTCCAGCCCTGTCTTCCTCTCCCGCTTCCTGTCTTTCCCTCCCATCTCCTGTCGCCTGTAATTCTCAGTAGGACCCCTTCTCAGCTCCTCCCCACCCCAAGCACAACCTGCCTCAGGCTAGACCTAGGCTCAGTGTCCCCCTCGGCCCTTTCCTGAGCACCCCCTTTCCTGGCCCTGCCTCACACTCACCTTCTCGGTGTCTTCCTTCTTCACCTGCTTGAGGTGGGCCCGCAGATCCAAGGATTCCTTGGCCCGGGCTCCCAGCAGGGCCTGCATCATGGCATCTGCAGAGATCCGAACTCTCCGCAGGGTGGGCCGCTTAAACTTGCCACGGAGATCGAAGATCTTCTGGGTCAGGTCTGCGATCTGGGGGCAGCCGCATGGGCAGTGGACGCTGCCCCTTCTGCCTCAGCCCTCCCCCAGCTCCCTGCCCTCCGTACCGGGGCCTGGCGCCCTCTTCCCCCAGCTCAGCCTGTGGAGAGGCCTTCAGTCCTGGAGCCCTGAGGAGCCCAGCCTCCCCTCTAGAACCTCCCACAGCTTGTTCTTCAGCAACACTAGAGTTACAACTCCCACCCTCGCCCAGACTCCGCTCCAGCGCGATGTCCACGGCGTGCGTGTGCGGTGTGCTTCCGCCCTGGCCTTGCGCCTGCTCTTCTCTCCGTTGGGAACCATACTCCTGATCCAGGTCAAACTCATCCTTCTGCCCCACCCCCTCGGACAGCTGCCTGGGCTCCCAGGCTCGGACACCAAGGCCAGCATCTCACACCACTGTGAAGGCCCAGGGCTCCCACCTCCGTGATGTTCTGTGTAACTTTGGCCTCTACGTCATATCTCTCTTCATCTGCCTTGTCCACCAGGGCATGGAGCTGCCGGCACAAGTCCTGGTGGAGAAGTCCTGTGTGTATGTTCGGGGAAGGGGCTGGGCCCGGACCCCAGGTCTGAGGGAGGAGGCCGGGCCAGGACCCCGGGTCTGAGGGAGGAGGGCTGAGGCCCGAAGACCTGGTCCTGAAGGAGTAGACTGAAGCCTGGACTCCAGAGAACTGCACGGAAGGGTGGGCAGAAGCCCGGAGTCCTGAACTCTGGCACATCTAGGCATGCAGGGCCTGACCTTGGGTCTGGGCCGCGGGCGGCTACCATGGGGCCTCTGCATCCCACGGGGAAGGGCTGCTGTACGGGACCCGAGGTCCTGGGCATAGGGGCACAGGCCTGTGCTCCCGAGCCCGCGCGAGGCAGGGACACAGACCTGGAGCCGACCCGGGCTGGGCGCCCCCGTGTCCGTACCTGCAGCTCGGCGGAGCCCAGCCCGGCCAGCTCCAGGGGCTGGCACCGCGTGCTCAGCGCGCGCCCCTTCTCTGCGCGCCGCTCCTCCGCCTCGCGCTCCAGCTCCTGCTTCCCGATCAGCAGCATCAGCGTCTGCGGGAAGTGCGGAGCCGCCAGGGTGGGGGAAAAACTTCCTCCTCGGAGACCTGGTCCCTCAGGTGGACCCCATCACGCCAAAGCTCCGCCCGGCCCTCGGAGGGGGGGGACACGCCCCGCCCTGCCACGCCCACCCCAAACGCCCCACCCCTCAGGGGCGCCCCAGGCAAAGCCCCGCCCCGGCCACGCCCACCCGAACGCTCGGCCTCACCTTCAACTGCAGCTTTCTGGAGGCGGAGATCTTAGACTTTTTCTGCCAGGATGCGTGGAGCAAGAAAAGATCAAGGAGAGGAATCCAAAGGTGAGCGGTGGAAAGGACTTCAAGAAGCCCCTACCTCTTCCGTAGATCTAGATTTGGGACCGCTTTCAACTTGGCCTCGGGAGTCCAGGGAAAGCCACACCCCCTCATCCCCATCCACCAATCTCGGGCTCTGACTTCAGCCAGGCACCACCCATTCATCCCCTAAGCAACCCTGGGAACAAGGGAACTCCGCCTACAGGCAACTCCCACCAATGAGAATCTGGCCCTTTCTGAAGCCCCGCCCCGCCCTCGTCCCTACCTTGGCGTGCGGCTCCGTGGCGTAGGCGCGGTAGTTGGCAGAGGAGCGGCGTCGGACCGGGGCGGGCGCGGGTCGCGGCTCCCCCGCCTGGGGAGAAGAGGCGGCGCATCACCACCGGGACCCGCCTTTTCCAGCTGCCTCTCTAGGGCTGCAGCCTCCGCCCCACCCCTCTCTGCCGCCACCCGGCCCTGGGTCCCTGCCCGCGCCTCTGCGCAGTCTCACCGCGTCGCTGCTCCTGCAGAGAGAAACCGGGGAAAGCGGATTAATGGTGGACCTGGGTCCTGTCTGTCTCCAAAGGGACTAGAGGATGGGGCCGCCAGCTGCCCTTGCTAAGGTCCCAGGAGTCTGATCCCACATTCTTTTATTTTTTTATTTTGAGACAGCGTCTCCCTAAGCCCAGTTCTCCAGGCTGGGCTCCAACTTGAGATCCTCCTGCCTCAGCATCCCCAGCTCGGCTTGATTCCCAAATTCTTACCTCATCTCTACCCAAGATCCCCACGCTACCTCCCGTTTTGGGCCAGATGTCCAGCTCACAGCTCCCACCTCTCGGGAGCCCTGGAAATCCACACCAACCCTCCCTCCGGGCCTCAGACAGCAGGGTCCCCAAGAGGCACTCACTCGTCCGCCATAGAAGACTCGGGCTGGGGTGTAGGAGGCAGAGACCAGGCAGGGTCTCCTGGGGCTCCGTGCGGGGTGCAGGGGTGACCTTGGAGGTCTCAGCCCCTTCGGTTTACTGGGTTGCTCAGGCCTGACTAGGACACTGAGATAAAGGGCAAGGACAGGGACTAAATATACTGCTGTCCCCTCCTCCTGGACGGGACTGGAGATAACGGCGCGTGTGGGGCGGGACGGGCTGGGCGCCAGCCGGGTCACCCTCACCTTGGCCTTCAGGGATCGGACCCTTCCTCCCGCTGACCTGGAGTGCTGGTACCCTCTACCTTCAGACTGGGAAACAGGCTGGGCATCCAGGGCCCTGCCCCTCAGACCCAGGGTCCAGGCCCAGCCTCCTCCCTCAGACCCAGGGCCTGGCTCCAGCCTCCCCCTCAGACCCAGGAGTTTGGGCCTCCTGACCCTTTGCTAGTTTTAACCCTTCATGAGGATTAGAACCATATCTTTTCCACCGTGTTGGGTCAGCTTCAGCACCCAAATATGTGGGCTGCTTGATGCATGTGATTTATTATTTACTTATATTTTACTTAGTTTTCTTTAAGACAGGGTCTCACTATGTAGTTCAGGCTGGCCTTGAACTCACCAGGTGGCCCAGGCTGGCCTCAAACTCTGGGCAACCCTCTTGCCTCAGCCCCTGACTGCTGAGGTTACTGGCCTGCACCATCACGCCTGGCTGCTGCTTGTTATTTAACCACAAGGCCCAGGTGTGGGCCCGTCCTCAGGCTGCAGCTCGGAGACAGCCACCCACAGCCCACTTGCAAGCCTAGAGGTCTGCTTCCGACCTCTGGGGCCCTCCCCAGCCCGGGGCTGGAGCCAGTGAGGACAGAGGACTCGGGGACACCAGAGGAGGACATAGGACTCTTTACTGAGCTGCTCGAGTGCTGCCCCCATCCCAGCCAGGAAAGGAGGGCAGGAGGCTGGGAGGGGGCTGGGGGCTGGGGCAGGACCTCCAGTCTGGGCTTGGAGTCCTGGGTGGAGTTGAGGCTCTGAGGGACAACGTAGGACCTCGGATCGCACACGGAACCCGAGACAGGGAGCGTGGAGGTCCGGCTCTGCGGCTGAGCGCCACCTTGGGTGGGAAGCCGGCGACGCCAGAAGTGGGTCAGACTCCTTCGAGCGGCTCCGGGTCTCCGGAGCCCCCTTTAGAAGTCAGAGAGGGGCACTGGGGCTCCGGAGTCCAGTCCTGTTGTGGCGTGGGAGGCCAGGTCGTGGGGCTGGGGTGGTGCAGCCGCGACAGGGGGCGCCGCGGAAGGGGCTCTGGGGCGGGTGTCTGGGCCCCGCGCACCCTGCTTGGCGAAGCGTGCGAAGGTCTCCGCGGGCCCGGCCGAAGCGCACGGGGTAAAGCCGGCTGCCCCCGCCAGCTCCCCGACCCGGGCGGCGAAGGCCTGCAGCTGCTCGGGCCGCAGGTCCACCAGGAACCTGAGCGGGAGGGGCGGTGAGGGACCTCGAGTCTGCACGCGGACCCCACCCCGCGCCACGCAGGCTCACCGGGCCAACTCCACCAGCAGGTTCCCGCCGGGGGCCATGCAGGCCGCGAGTTCGGGGCCGAGCAGGTGCACCATGCTGCGGAGGGGGGCGGTGAGCAGCGGCAGGGGGCGCGACCCGCCCTGTGCCCCCCAGCCTCGAGCCTCACCCGCAGGCCACGTAGAGAAGCTGGAAGCGGGCCTGGTAGCAGCCTTTGTGGTGCAGCGAGCGCGCGGATCCAAGCGACAGGAAGTGGAGCTTGAAGGGGGCCGGGGCCAGGTCTCCTGGGGAGGGTGGTTGAGCGTCACCTTTCCAGGGAACCAGTGCGCCTGACATCTGCTTCCGGATTCCTGCCTGAGACTGGGAAGTCGGCGGGCAGGCAGAGCCCCAGTTTACAGTCCCGACAACAGTGGGTGGCCCAGGCCGCAAGGGCGGGCCCTGTAGAGGGGGACAGTCTCCGGAAGCGGGGCGACAGGCCAGGGCATGGTCGGGAGACAGGCAAAATCCTGGTGGGGTCAGTGTCTGAGGCGGCGGGCGGCTCCCTGTGATAGTGAGTTTTTGCCCGGCCAAGTGATTCGAGTGCGCCTGGAATCCCGCACTCTGGGAGGCTGAGCAAAAGGACTGCACGCTGGGGCCCAGCCTGGACAACCTGGTGATTTAGCGAGACAGTCTTAAAGACAAAAAAGGTCTGGGGATGCAGCTTGGTGCCAAGACCTGGCTTCGATCCCTAGCTCTGAGGGGTGGGGAGAGAACATTTCCAGCCAGCCAAGGCCTTTACAGAATCCGAAGGATGGGGTCAGATTTAGGACTGGGAGAGAATGGAGGAGATGAAGAGGCAGAATGTCAAGGAGCGGCCCCTGCCCGGGCATTGCCAACCCCCGCGTCCATGCTGGGATTCGAACCACCTCGAGGCTGAGGACGGGGTTACCCAGGTCCCGCTTACCCGAGGTCTCCTGCTCCGGGCTGCCTTCCGGCTCGGGTTGCTTCTCCCGGTCCCCTTGCGTGTCTCTCGGGCGCCCCCAGGCGGCCAGTTCTCGAAGCACCTCCATCACGTTGTGTTGCGTGATCTCTCCCGCAGTCTGTGCAGGCGCGAAGGGGCGGGACGGACCCTGGGGCTAACAAAGCTTGGGGGCAGGGAGGGGGCGGGGCCTAGGGTGAAGGGAAGTTGGAGCCTGGGCGGGAATTCCACGCACACCGGCTGCGGACCCGCACACGAGGAGGCGGGGCTTAGCCTACGGGGCGGGGCCCGGCGGGAGAAGGGCGGGGCCTGGGCTCTGGCCCCAGCTCCTGCTTCCCCGCCGCACACCTTGGTCGGCTGCCCGTTCCTGGTCTGCAGGAGGCTCTGGTCATCCGCCTCGATGCCAAAGGCCACGAAGGGCCCCGTAGCGATGTCCCCCCAGTACCCGCGCGCTGCCACGCGCTCCCCGCACTGGGAAAACAGGAGAGGAGGCAGGTGAGGTTGACGTGGGCCCCAACTTACATGTAGATTCTTGAAAAGGTGTGGACCGGGAGCGGAACCCACGTGGGTCAGGAGGCGGCCGGACGCCAGGGTCCGGTTGGGCTCGTGGTAGGCGCTGGAGTCTCTGAGTTCAAAGGCGACGCCTGTGTCCCTCCAGCGGCGGAATTCCTGGGTGTGGATGACCTGGGCCTGGGGCAGCCCGAGGGGGAAGGCCGTCTGAGTGGCCGGGACAGGGGCCCCCGCCTCAGGCCGGGGTTCGAGCCTCCTGCTCAGACCCGGGATCCGGCCCGGCCCGACCCTCACCCCGCGGTCGTGCAACTTCATGCGCAGGTCCCAGTCGCTGACCCCGCACCGCGCGTCGTAGCGCGAGCCCAGGTAGTGTCGCACCCGCGCGTCCCACAGGCGGCCCATGGGGAAGGCCTGTGGGCCCCGCTCCTCGCAGGACCAGAAACGGAGCACGGCCTCCAGCTCATCGCGCTCGCGGAACTGCAGCCACGCGTGTGGGAGAGCAGAGGCCCGGATGCAGGGCGCCCCCCCCCCGCTCTCCTGCCTCCCCCCCCCCCGGGAAACTGAGGCCCCGACGTCCACAGTGGAATCGGAGCCAGGCTTCCACGCCGCACCCGGGCCTGGACCCCACGGGGACGTCGCGGACGGCACCTTGAGCGCACGCAGGCTGAGCCAGGGCAGCTCCCGCTCCAGGCGGTCGGGCTCGGGGACCAGGAGCGCCAGGCGGGAGGCCTGCTCGCGCACGAAGGCGGCCACCGGGGCCCGCAGCAGCGCGTTCCCCCACACCTCCAGGAAGGCCTCGCTCTGCTCTGGAGGGCGGGGTGGGGGAGCCCCGGAATCAGGTACCGAGTGCGCAGGAGGAGCCCCGGAACTGCCCCAGGGAGGACAACTCCCTCCCAACCCCGGTCTCCCGGCCTGGTCCTCCCGGCCCGGTCCTCCCGCCCTGCCCCTCTCTCACGTTTAAAATCTCCCTGCTCTTTAAAATAGCAAAGAGGATCTGAACTGTAGAGACAGAGAGATCTGCCTTTCTAAATGCTACAGTATTAAATTGCTTGATTTTGGTTTTGGTTTTGCCTGTGGTACCGGAGCCTGAATCCAGGGCCTTGGCACTGAGCTACATCTTCGGCCCTTATTTATTTTTATGTATTTATTTTGAGACAGGGTTTTTGCTCAGTTGCCCAGGCTGGGTTCAAACTTGCCACCCCCTTGCCTCAGCCTTCCAGCATGCTGAGATTACAAGCATACACCGCCACACTCCTCTAGCTTCTTAAGAATCCTGTGAGAGAACGATATGCCTTTGCTTGCATATTATATATGCACACATACACTTACAAGCGTGCATGTATATTGTGAGGTAGACAGATGATACATGTAGATTTTAGTTATAGAAGAGAACTACATGGGTTTAATTAAATAGACAAGCTCAGTTTAAGAATCTTAAAGAAGGTGCAATGTGCAATGTATTCTGAAGGCCCTGGGCTGTTAATAGCCATGACCATCAATCCTCATAATAAAATGCAAAACTCGCTCAGATATATGGAGCTGGCATCATACACCAAGCACTATGACTCCTAAGGGGAATCCTATTGGTGGAGGAACTTTTATTTCCTTACTGTACAGAGCATTAAGCCCAGGGCCTTCAAATTGAGCTACAGTCCCAGCCCCCCTTTTAAAAAAAATACTTTATTTTGAGACAAGGTCTTGCTAAGTTGCCCAGGTTGGGCTCCAACTTGTGATCCTTTGGTCTCTGTCTCTGCCTCCACCTCTGCCTCCCAAAGCACTGGGATCACAAGCTGCCACCAAGCCCAGCTGCACGGGAACTTTGACAAATGTAGAAATGAGGCCCAGCTAGGGGTAGTGGGTTCCTGCCCCAGGCCACACAGCAAGCAGAGCAGGAATCTGGCTACAGCCTGTGCAACTTCGGGTGAGGGGACAGGACAGCTCGCAGGAGCGGCTGATGCACTGACCACAGGAGCATCACCGCACTCACGTGGTGTCATGCACCGTTCTGAGGTGTCCTGTGGATTTTCTCCTAGAATTACCTGTGGGTCGAGGGATGACACTGGGCCTCGTTTTGGAGGTGGGAAAAGTTGAGGCTCAGGATGAAATAGGGAAGCTGGGTACGGTGGTGCACACCTTGAACCCAGCACTGTGGGAGGCTGAGACAGGAAGATGGCAAGTTTGAGCCCAGCCTGGGAAATTTAGAGACTGAGTGAAACCCCATCTCAAAATGAAACATAAAAGCTGGGTATAGTGGTGCACGCCTGTAATCTCAGCACTTGGGAGGCTGAGGCAGGAGAACTGCTGAGAGTTCGAGGCCAGCCTGGGCTACACAGTGAGATCCTGTCTCAAAACAACAAAACAAACAAAAAGAAGAGGAGGAGGAGGAGGAGGAGGAGGAGGAGGTGGAGGAGGAGGAGGAGAAAAGAAGGAGAAGAGCAATGACCAAAGTTTTCAACGTCACCACTGAAAGGCGGGAAGCCCTAGGGAGGTTGAGGGTGGGGTCAGATGCCTGGATGTCTCCACTGACCTTGCAGCCCCATCTTCTCGGGGTCCTCCAGAGCGAGGCTGAAGATGAGCATGTGTCGGGCCACAGCCTCCAGGTTGTGCTCCAGAAGATAGAACTGGAAGGACGGGGCCGCGACCATTCAAACTTGCACCCCGGGCTGGCCCGCCAGCGTCCTGGGTGCCGCCCCTCCTCCACGCCCTCCGCCCTGCAGCTGCTAGGGCCCTGAGGCTTCGGCCGCCCCGCCCCCTCCGCTCCTTCCCCAGAACCGGGGGCGCCCAGCTCCACCTCCTTCAGACCCCGGCGCGCGGCCCCTTCCTACCAGGACCCACGGGCGCAGAATGCCAGCCCCGCCTCCCTCAAGGGTTCAGCGGCCAGGGTCCCCGCTCCACGCCCCCGTCCTGCTCACGTTGAGCCTCCTGCGCGGCCAGCGAGCCGCCCGGGCCAGGGTGCGCAGCAGGTGGCGCCCGTCCACGGAGCCCAGCAGCAGCACGTTGAGCTCGGGGGTGGCGCGCGCCGCGTCCCCGTCCGCGTCCGCGTCCGCTTGCGCAGCAGGGCCTGACGAGACCACGCGGGCGGGGCTGGGGCGCCATAGCTCCCCCTGCCGCCTCCTCCCTGCAGAGCTGCCCGGGGGAGCTGAGGCAGAAGAACGCCCTGGGGACTCACCCTCCGCCTGCAGGTCCAGAGCCGGCGACAGGCCCCACCAGGACACCCAGCCGAAGCCCGCGCCCGAGCCTGCCGGGGTGGTCATCGCCCTGCGGGACAGACACCCTGGGAGTCCCACACTTGTGCATCCCGTCGCCGCTCGCCGTTCCTCACCTCCCGCCCTTTTCCCCTCCCCGCGACCCTGCTCACCTTTACCCTCCAAATACTCGGGACAGCCGGCGTCTCCTCCCACTCGCGGCTGCTCACTGCTAAGTTGAGGTCTGCCGCCCTAGTCCAACCGCTGTCAAAAGCCCCGCCCCTCTCAACAATCAGCCAATGGGAACGCGTACACTTGCCCCGCCCAGGGCAACTGACCAACGAATGTGAAGTAGAGCCTCCCTCTACAAACTTTTGACCAATAGGAATACTGAGAGACGCCTCCACGCTTGGGGGGCGTGGGGACGCGGTTGTCAGGACAACTTTGTAGGGATGGGATGGGGCCTAACGAGGCTGACTGGGCGGAGACGGAGGATTGCTTGAGGCAGCCTGGGCTACAGATGAGTTCAAGACCAGCCCGAACAGGACCGAGGATTTAGCTCAGGGGTTCTGCCGTCTGCCTCGCAAGGTCCTGAGTTCGATCCCCGGTACCAAAAAAACTGAGCCAAGACCAGCCCTAACTACAGAAAGAGACCCTGTCTCAAAAATAAAAAAGAAAAGAAAAAAAAATCCAAGAATAAAATTAAATTAAGGCAAAACAATGGAACTTTGATGAATCCAAATTAAAGTGAGGTAGCCTAGCCTGGAGACCTCTGTGTCCACTTTCCCTCACAGCCTAACACAGGCCTGTAGTCACATGAGACACAGGGCGCTCACTCTTCCTAGTCGCTATATTTTGTGCTGGGCATTGTGGCACATGCCTGTAATCCCAGCACTCAGGAGGCTGAGGCAGGAGGATCCCTGCAAGTTCGAGGCCAGCCTGGGCTACATGGTGAGTTCAAGGCCAGCTTGAACTACATAGTGAGACCTTGTCTCAAAAAGAAAAAGAAAGAAATTTTGTAAGCAGGTTGTTACACGTGATCATTATTTAAAATTAAATTTTAGTTGGGCACGGTGTTCCACACCTGTAATCCCAGGTACTTGAGAGGCTGAGGCAGTATAATAGCAATTTCCAGCCCAGCCTGGGCAACATACTGAGACCTTATCTCAAAATAAAAAATAAAAAGACCTGGGTGAGGGCTGGGGATTTAGCTCAGTGTCACAGCATCATTACTTCTTAAGGGCTTGGGCAAGGTCCCACAATTTAAGGTATAGCCAAAAAATCTCAGCAATAAAGATAAATAGTGCTTCTGTAAAAAAAAAAAAAAAAAAAAAACATAGTGTTTCTGTGTAATATTTTTAGTGCAATATTTTTAAAAAACATTAAAAAATAAAAATTAAAAAAACTTAATCATACCAGAATGAAAGACATGCTTAGTAACTCTAGAGCAGATACAAATAAAAAAAAAAATAGAAGAGCTCCAAAAAGTGATGGAAACCATGAATACCCAATAAAGGAAAGAAATGGAATCCATGAAACAGATTCAAACAGGTGATTAAGGGCCAGGGATTTAGCTCAGTGGTTTCACCGCCTGCTGTGCAAGCGCAAGGACCCGAGTTCAATCCCTCGAACCAAAAAAAAAAAAGTTCCAAACAGGAGATTAAAACACCATTGAAAGTATATGCAGCAGAATAAGCCAATGTGAGGACTGAATATCAGGTACAGAAGACAGGATTGTGATTAGCAATCATAAAAAGAAAGATTTCTTAAAAATAGCAAAGGACCATGAGAAATCAATCCAGCAGCTGCAAATAGATGCACCTTGAGACCATACTCTTAAGTGAAGTAAATCAGACACACATGTGGAAATACCACATTGTTTCTCTGGTGTGAGAAACTAAAAGTGGAAATAAGGACTACAATGTATATTATAATAGATATTGGGAAATGGGAAGAAAATGTTTAATTGGGAAGGGGAACAAGGGAGGAGAGAGGGAGACAGACAGACCCTACCAAGTCACCCCCCAGTGGCCACCTTCTCCCGTCAGCTTTCACTTCCCAACATCACATCCAGTGATAAACTCATCAGTGGACCAATCTAGAACCATGATTCCCCCAAAATAAGACTTAACTGGGCTGGAGATTTAGCTCAGTGGCACCAAGCCTGCCTCGCAAGCACAAGGTCCTGAGTTTGATCCCCAGAACCAAAAAAAAAAAAAAAAAAGACTTAACTGAAAACTAATCAGCCTTGAAAACTAGAGATCAAAATGCCAGCTGCAATCACCCTGTCTCAGCTTTGCCTGCTTTACAGTAAGAGTAAGAGCTAGTACTCTGAGCAAGAGAATAGCGGCAGCAGGTGAGGAGAGGACAGGCTCATTGGGGATAGCATTTTTTTTTTTTTTGGTACCGGGGATCGAACTCGGGACCTTGCGCTTGCGAGGCAGACACCAGAACCACTGAGCTAAATCCCCAGCCCGGGGCTGGCATTTTGATCTCTAGTTTTCAAGACTGATTATTTTTCTGCTAGGTCTTATTTTCAGGGAAAGGGGATATTACACACCCATGATCCAATATATTACACCCATGATCCAGTCACCTCCCTAAAGCCCCACATATGAGCACATGAGACTTTTGGGGCGACATCTTGATATAAACCTTAACATTCAGTGACTATATATTTGTCACTTGAAATCAACCATGGTGGAGATATTTTCAAGGTGGAAATGAGTGAACCATACCCCAGGGCTTGAGGAGTGGCCACACCACTAGCAGGTCACAAGGCCCTGTGGCCCCTACATCTGTATTCTTTACATCACCCCCTGGAAAAGTCCTGCTCATCCTTCCAGCCCCAACACGGATTCCTGCTCTGAGCTCTGCTGCTGCCTTCCCAGCAGAATGGCCACAGCTCTCTGCCTGTGGGTCCCACTACTCTATCTTCAGGGGACTGGACAGCAGCACACTCAGGCACTTGGCCTCGGTGTCAGGTGTGCATGGATCTTTGTGGTGCCCTGTCCCACGCTGGCTGAGGGTCCCTGCATGTGACGTGGCTTCCAGTGCAGCCCTTAGCCCAGGGGCTGGGGTCCTGCTCCTGCCAGCCTGGTGCAGCCCTTTGTCCCTGTCACCCTCACCCCACATACAGTCTCCCTGCAGGGGCTTCGTGATCGTGATCTAAGGGCACAGGGAACCCTGCAGCTCCCTCCTCAGCCCCACAAGAATAATCGACCCCCTGGACACGTGGGTGTCAACACAGCAAGCCACACACCTTAGGTACACAAGAGGACATGTTAAAATAATAAATTCCAAAGAAAAATTTGAAGAACCGGTGTCCTTATGTCATCGAACAAGAAAAAATATGAAAGCATAATGAAAATTGTTCAGGGAGACTTTGTTTTGTTTTTGTTTTTCCAAGTTATAAAAAGAGGTGAGTGTCTTTGTGGAAAGGATTCAGTTCTGTCAAAGCAAGTCTATTAGACTTGTTAATTGTACTTATTAGCGAAATACAAAACTGCCCAATTAGAAATTAATAAAACAAGCATTCTTCTATTTTGAGTTAAACAATTTTTTATCATATTGGGGATTGAATCCCCAGTACTGAGCTACACCCTCATCCATTTATTTATTTATGTATTTGAGACAGGGTCTCACTAAATTACCCAGGCTAGGCCGGAACTTTCTTTCTTTTTTTGTTTTTGGTACCAGGGATTGAACTTGGGTCCTTGCACTTGCAAGGCAGGTGCCAGAACCACTGAGCTACATCCCCCGCCAGAGGCTGGAACTTTCCATCAGCCTCCCACAGCGCCAGGACCACACACCAACCTCATTTAAGGCTGATCTCCAACCCCCTTTCTTTCTAAGTGGTCTCAGCCCTCACACACTTCCTTCCCAACACTATCTCCATTAGGACTGGTTTCATTCTTCATTCCTGGTCTGTTTTCTGGTTGAGACGGAGAACACGGGACCCAGATGTCATGTAAACTGGAGTGTGCTTAATCCCAGGGCTTAGAGACAGACTTCAGGGCTATGTGATTCTGAGCAAATCACATCAGTTCTGTCCCTTATTTGCCAACTAGGAAAACAATTGTGTTTTTTTAATGTGGTTTTTGTGAGGATTATTTTGTTTGTGTGTTGAGACAGCTTCTTGCTATGTACTCCAGGCTGGCTTTGAACTTGTAGCAATCCCCCTGCCTCAGCCTCCTATGTGCTCGAATTAAAGGGGTCTGCACCACACCTGGCTTTTAGTGAGGATTATTGGCAGTGGTAGCAGTAGTAGTAATAATACATAGTGCTCTCCTCAAAAACACACACGCGCCCACACACCATACACGGGAAATCACTACATTCCTTCGGGGAAACCTACACCATAATCAATGTGACCGATCTGACCCCCTTCCCACGGTTCCCAGGAAGCTCGGCCTCATCTGTACGGCCCTCCTCAGCTCCCGGGAGCGCTGCTGCCCACTCCCCGCATCACCCCAGATCCTGCCCGGGACCAGCTGAGGGAGGGGCCAATGAAGCCAGACAGGGAAGGCAGCACTTGTGGGAGGAATACTGAGGGGAGTGTGCGACCACTGGGCTCCTCCCGTGACGCTGTCCTTTCTCCCAGGCCCCGGGGAGTTCATCCGAAGGCTCTGGAATCCCGTGTTTCCCGCACTGTGAGCTGTGTGGGGTAAGCTCTGGGTCTCCGTTTCTTCTGCTCCATGTCACCCAGGGGGAACCCTAGCACAGAGGTCTGGGGGACACAGGATGGACGGCTGACGGAAGAAGGCCGAAAGGGGAGAGGAAGGGAGCAGGGAAGGAGGCACGAACCCTATGTGCACACCTATCGCCGCTCTCTCGGGAGGCTGAGGCAGGAGGAGACCAAGTGGGAGGCCCCTGGGCATTAGCACGACCCTGTCTTAACTCACAGAGGGCGGGGTGATAGCTCCGTGGTAACGCGCTTGTCTGGAAACCACAAGGGTTCAAAAGTAAAGCCAAGGGAGAAGAAGAGAAAGCTTTGTGCGCGTGGGAGAAATGCATGAGTACGGCGGGGGTGCTCAACTCCACAGCAGACACGCAGCCTTGTCATTGTGACGGTTTCTGCCGGGCCGGAAGCGGGCGGGAAGCAGGCGGGTGAGCTGGGGGCGCGGGAGCCGAGGTTCCCTCCTGGCCGCCCCACCCACCCATCCAGGAGCAGGGCCAGGCCAGGCTGTGGAGGATTTATTTGGCCGGAGCAGTGCCTGGTGTGAGGGAGGAGGGCCTGGGGCAGGGGCACAAGGGGAGCTGATGGTCGGAGCGAGCGAGGAGGGGCGGCCCCGGGCCAGGGGACCAGACTGCTTCCCTCAGGACCCTGGGGCTTCCACGCGGGCAAGGTTGCCACGGTGACGTGGGGTGAGGCGGGAAGGAAGGGGCGGGCGGTGGCCGTCAGGGTGCAGGCGGTGGCCTCACTCGGTCAGGGGGCCGCAGCGAGTGCCACTGCGCCACCGGCCGCCGGGGGTTGGCCAGCATGTCCGCCCAGTGCCGCAGGCCAGCCCCGCCGGCGGCCACGCCCACCGCCACCCGCCCGACCGCCTCGTTCCTGCCCAGCTTGTCGTAGTCCAGCACGGTCAGCTCCACCTGCACCTTCTGGGGCGGGAGGGGAGGAGGAGAGAAAGGAGAGGGGAGGGGAGCGACGAAGGGCACCCGGCAGGCACCCTGCGCGAGGGGCTGGGGACAGGGCCCGGGGCGAGCAGCCGCTCTGCAGACTTCCTTCGTTCAAAAGCAGATCGCTTTCTTCTTCGCAAGGCTGAGGCTCTGACCCACGGCCTCTCGAATGCTGGGCAGGTGCTCCGTGCTGAGCTACACCCCAGCCCCTGAGACAGACTTTGGAGGAGATGGACCCTGGGGATTGCTGAGGGGCTGTTGGGGCTCCTTAGGGAGCAGCTCCACCGGAGCTCCTGCCTGGCTGCCGGGCTAGCCCGAGTCACGCCTGGCTGGGCCCTGCCCTTGAAGGCATCAGGAAGCCTCTCTCCTAGAAACTCTTCCTAAGCCACCACACCGGGTTCCTAAGCCCAATTTTTGGAAGATCCCTTCTGCACGGGGGCTGGGCCTTCTGCATCACAGCAGGAAGCAGAGATCTTGTTTCTTGGCCCGGGACCTGCCTTCTAGGGTGCTCAAGTCCCTCGTCCCTGCCACAGGCTCCTGACTGCACCCTGGGAAGGGCTCTTCCCGCAATGCCAGGTGGTTGGCTCACCTGGACTTGGTCACAGGGCACCTCAAAGCTGAAGGCCTCATTGTAGTAGGGGTTCAGCGTGTTCTTCTTGATAGTGGTTTTCTTCTTCCGCACCTTTTTGCCCCCCTGCAGCAGGTGGACCTTGACGTAGGGATCTGGTTGGGGGGAGGCGGTGGCTCAGAGCCCCCTCTGCAGGGCCCAGCAGGATGGGGTCTCGGGAAGGAATAGGGACCTCCCTCCAGCCTGCCCTGAGACACCCTACGCACCCCTCAGTCTCTGCAAGACAGCATCTGAACCCTCTCACGGCAGACGGGGGCTCCCGCTGCCCCTGAGAGGCCCGGGGGTCCCAACCAGAGCCTCCCTGACCACCCCCACACCCTTGCCTTGCTCCCACCCACCTGACAGTCCTCCTACGTCCATCTTCTTCAGGTTTTTAGCCTCCAGGACAATGACAGTGAGCTTCCCAGCCGTGGGGACATAGCGGAGAGAGAAGCAGATGTCCCCTAGCTTCTCCAGCTAGAAGACAGAGAGGGACCCATGACCAGAGATCTCTCTGTCCATCCTCTCCTCTCCTCCCTTTCCTTCCTCCTCACGCCTTGGAATGGGAGGGTCCAGAGTCAGGCACCCAGATGCCAATCTAGTCCCTGGAACTAGCTCTTACAGGTGCTGGCAATCTGATTGGCCCAGGGTAGGCCTGGGTGGGGCACCAGGTAGGGCTGGGCGGGGCCACAATGCTCACCTCCTCCCTGGGAGCAGCCTGCAGTTCCTGCCAGGCCTGCACTGGCCGCCCCAAGTCCACTGAGCTCATGGGGACCCGCACCTCCCCAATGGCATCATTGCGGGAGAAGCGGTCGAAGTCGTACACTGCCATGACCAGCACTCTGCCTCCCAGCTCCACATAGGGGACCTGGGTAGGTGGCACCAAGAGAATGCAAGGCAGAGGGTAGAAAGTCAGAGAGAGGGGAGCAGGTTTGGGTAAGAGAATCAAATGGGTGCTGAGTGTCCAAGGAAGGCAAGTGGGGAAACATGGGAACCCATGAGGATCAGTGGAACCCGAATGGGAACACCAAGGACCAAGGGTCAGCGGTGCCTAAGGGACAGCCCTAGGGCCGGTGTAACAGCCTCCAGGGCTGGTGGTACCCTGAGCTGTGGCTGCCTCCAGGGAAAGCAGGGGGGTGGGAGGCAGGCTGTGGAGCCTCAGGTGCTCACCTTGAAGGTGAAGGCCTCCCCAAAGTGTGGGTTCAGTGTCTGCCGATGCACCTTGGTCTCGTGTCGCCTCCGCTTGTCTGGTAGCAGGTAGACCCGCACGTAGGGGTCCGAGGAGCCACCCAGGTCCAAGGCCGCCAGTCCCTCCGCTTGCAGGATGCCCACCAGCAGCTGTAGGTGCCCAGGCCCAGTTGCAGGGACCCTGATCTTTGCCTCCCTCCCAGGACCTCCCCTGGGGAGCACTCCCCTCCTCACACCCACCTGACCACTCTGAAAGTCATAGTCCAGTGAGTACTGCAGTCGTCCTAGCTCATGCTTCTCTGCTACCTGCTGCCCTGGCCCAGCTGGCATGGGCTCCAGCTCCTCTACTTCTGGCTGCACCTTAGGGAGCCAGGGACAAGGGCAGGTGAAATCTTCCAGACAGCAGCATCCTCCAGGTTCAAAGCCATGGAGGATCCCAGATCCCTTGAGCTATAACTGATCACTTGGAAGCTAAGCAGAGTTAGGGTTGGATTAGTGACGTCTGCCACTGACAGGAACTAAACATGGGTGCAGAAGATTTATCAGTATTTGATTAGTGATGTCTGCTATGGGCAGGGAATCAGTAGTGCATACAGTGTTTATCATGCTTAGACTAGAACAAGTGCCCACAGGAAAGATGCAGAAGAAGGCTATTTTGCATGCTAGTGGATATATTAGGGCAGTAGTACAAATTGCCAATTGGTTGGTGATCCTGTCAGTACAAAATGGGAAGGAGAAACAGCATATTTACTGTGTCCTTCACATTCTAAAGCAAAACAAGAAAAGCAGAAGGCTTCTCCTCAGCCCAGGCCATCACTTCTCAAGATTCATTGTGAATTGGAATTCCTGAATCTCATGGCAAAATGGGGGATCATAGGGCCAGGGATTTAACTCAGTGGTTTCACCGCCTGCCTTGCAAGTGAAATGACCTGAGTTTGATCTCTGGTACCAAAATGGGGGATCATTTCTTTAGGAAATTCTGATTTGGTAGGTCTGTATGACATTCCATCCAGAATGTAATAGACATGCAACAAATACTGCAGGTGACTTGATGCAGATGGTTGTTGGACATTGGGGGCTTAGGGACAGGGAGGGGACTGCTCCTCTTGCTCAAGACCTTCCCCAAACTCCTGTTTGCCCTCATTACATGGCCACTGCTGAGCTGAGCAGATGCCCCACTCCAGGGCTCAGTAATTTGTACTCTACTCCCAGCCATTGTGAAAAACGATTCTTTGATCCCTAAATGATGTCAAGATTCAGCATTCTCTCCCTTTGACTTGAATGTCCTCTTTGCTCTGGGGTAACTCTGTCCTTGGGTCTCACTGCAGAAACCACCTTGACCCTCCAGGCCAGTGGTGGTGAACCTGTGGCCTGCGTGCCACAGCAGACTGTTACTGAAAGCTCTAAAATGTTTGCCATCGCTGCTCTAAACTGTCGAGTACCCTCTGCCATCCTGCGATGTCCTGTTTTGACCTGCATGGGACACACACCAGCCTGCATTGAGTGTCTGACTCCCTCATCACACTGTGAAGCTCTTGTGAACAACTAGATCTGGCCCATCTCCAGGGCCCCGAGTCCAGTTGGGAGCTAGACACACAGGGAAGCTGAGTGGACACGGTGGGTTTAGGGGGAGGCATAAGGGACTGAGACCCACTGGACCACTGAGAGGTGCAGGATGCACACAGGGAAGGGTTGAGGGGCTGGGCCAAGCCACACCTTGTCTATGTAACTCTGGCCCAGCTCCTTCACTTCCTGAAGGTGGACTTGGGCTTGTGCCTGGTTCTTCTTGCCCATCCGCCTCCGACAACGCTTCCGGCAGAGACAGAAACAGCAGCTGAAGACCAGGAGGCCTGAGACCAGCACGATGGTGGCCAGGGCCCAGGGCGGCACTGCAGAGGGGTGGAGGGGACTGGCATGGAAGCCCTGGGAGGCCGGCTGGCTGGTTCAGCCAGGACTCCATGTGGAAGCTGGAATCCTGGTCTCAACCTCCAAAAATTCATTCTATTTTATGCTCATATTTTCCTTCCAACTGATCTCACCTAAAAAGCTAGTTGATGCCTTAACCCAGGCTGACGCTATTTTGCTTACTTATTAGTTTCATCTCCTTTTCCACTCCCATTTCTGCTCAACATCTGCTGGTTTTAGAAGAAGCCCTATCCCTTCTTGGACCCCAGTTTCCCTATCTGTAAAATAAGGGACAGGTGGACCCTCCCATTCATCCATGCCAGGTTCCATTCCATGCCACACTCCTGATCCGCTTCCAGTTTTCCTTCCTAACCTGTTCCATTCTTTCCCCGTTTCTTTCAAATTTCAGTCCAGGATGCCAACCTCGACGTCCCATCCTGAACCCCACCCCCAGTCCTGCCCTCGGGGTCCCACCGGCTCTAGGTAGGGGTCAGCTCGGTTCACCTGCGCCCTGGCGGATGCGGCTGGAGTCCGGAGGCGCGGCGGAAGCTGGAGGCCCCGGGGTCGGGGGCTCTGGGAACATGGCAGCAGGGTCCCGGGCTCCTTGCTGCAAAGGCAACCAAGCTCCCTAGGGCCCATTCCCACCCCAGCACCCACTGAGTCCTCGACTACAAGACCTCCAGGTTGCACGGCTTTCTGGGCCTGCTGGGAGTTGTAGTCCCAGCCTCCCCGCGACATCAAGGAGGGCGAGGCCTTGAGGTTTCAATTCCATGCATGGGACGCCCCCTCCCTCCAAGGCATCCCCAGGCATCTCACAGACTTCTGCCCCTTCCAGGCCAAAACGGAAGTAGGGGAAGGCGGGCGTGGGAACCAGCGGACCTCGTTGCCTGGAGCAACCGCCTGGCTCCACACCGGCGGGGTGTGAGCAACTCTGGTTGCCAGGCAACGGCCTGTTGCCTGGACAACGGGCGGGGCTGACGCACGGAAGCGGAGTCGGGCGGGGCCCGCTGGCTGCGGGCGCTGTGTGCGCCGGGACCCCAGACCCAGATCTCCCAACCCAGCGAGGCTGGGGAACCGCATCCGGCTCTCCCTCTTGGCCCCAGTCAGGCGTCGCCCCTTCTGAGCGTCTGCGGCTCCGTCCCGGAAATCTGCGTCTCCCCTGCCCCGGCCGAGCTCCGTCCGAGGCTGCGGGGTCCCTCCCCTCCCCCGGCTCTTTGTCTCCACGCCGACCGTCTAGCGCCTCTAAATCCCGATCTCCATGTTTAGGGCTCCAACCTCCCAGCCCTCGCTCGGTTCTTCCCAGGTCCCTCACCGCCTCCCACCTCCCCTCCCACGCACCCCGTCCCTTGGGGATGGACCGAGGCCGGACCTCGGGCAGGGCCCGCCGCTCCTACCTTCTGGGTGGCTGGGCAGGACCTGGGGAGCCACCGAGCACCCGGCCTCGCGCACGTGGGCGGCGCTGTCCCGGGTGCTGATCCCCGACAGGCGGGCGCGCGCGAGGGTGAGTGCGCGCGGCCCGTCCCGCAGGGAGGACGCGCTCCGCCCCTCGGCCCGCCCCACCAGGAGCTGCGATGACGCCCGGACGTCGATCCCGACGCCCTAGAATTTTCTGCGTTCTGGTCCGGCCATCCACTCGACCTCTGCAGTGCACACCGGCTCCACAGCGCACACCTCACACAGGGAAAGAACCGGGCCTCCCGGGCCTAGGACTCTAGAGAACCCCTTCTGGAGCTGAGGCGCCCTTCCCGCCCCGCCAGCACCCGGCTTGAAGACACCAGGCCCTCTCACATAAGCCCAGGAGGCACTGCCACGCGCACATACACCGCACACACAAGAGCCAGCCAGCCACACCTACCCACTCCCACCCCAATATTATCGCCAAACCCAGAAATCCACTGGAGCAACCTCGGGGGAAAACATTTAATAAGTTAGAGGCAGAAGGGAAACGTGCAGTGGGTTGCAGGGAGGCCTCGGGCAGGGGGACTGCCTCAGCCCCAGACCCCTGAAGACTGCAGGCTTCCCAAGTAAAAGCAGAGCAGGGTCCAGCCTGCCCTCATCCCTCAGACCTCGAGTCCTTCCTTCCCGAGAACCTAGGCCCCAGCCTGATCCCCTGAGATCCTGGCCAGGGCCACAGCTATCCTCCCTCAGAGGGCCGGAAACCCACCTCCACCCCCTCCTCCTTCAAAGGACCGGGGCTCAGGCCCAACCCTGCACGGCATTCAAGCTCCAACGCTCCACAGGGCCCAGGGTGGGACCCAGACCTCTGCTGTCCGGGGTCCAGGAACCTGGGCCTTGGTGACTCAGAGCTGGAGCACAGCTGGGCTGCAGGCTCAGACCTCCAGCTCCTGGGCCCGGATGGCAGACGGATTCTCATAGACGAGGCCCGCCACATTCTCATACTCTGCCTCCTTCTGGGCCTGGGTGGCCGACTGCTCGAGGTAGCGCAGGATGCACTGGTGCAGGAACACGTACTGGGCCTGGGGAGCAGGCAGGTGGGCTGAGCTCTGCTCCCACGGCGCCTGGCCAGCCCGCAGCCCCTGCAGCCCTCACCTCCGTCTGCACCATCAGGGGCCGGCTCTGCCTCATCTTCCTCACGAAGCCGAAGGGCCCCACAAGGCCCTCACTCTCCAGCTGCCTCAGCAGGACGTCCAGGGCAATGAGGGTGCCCGTGCGGCCCACGCCAGCGCTGGGCAAGGACAAGGCAGGGTCAGGCAGGGTGTTTTCGAGCACCCAGGGGTCCACATAAGGGTCCAGAGGGGGTCGCTTAGCTCAGCAGGAAGCGATGACCACAGCCAAGCGGAGGGCCCTTCCTTCTGTGAGTCTCTGTCTAACTAAGTGCCTCTCAGGCCACTTAGATTGCCTGGCTTACAGAAGGGGAAAGCCAGGGTGGGGAAGCCAGGAGCTGGGTTCAAACACAGGAAGACAAGGGGAAAAAGGTGCTTTTCTCCGGCTGAGCGCTTGTATACATCTTTAAACAAAATCACTTTAATTGACTGAGCCGGTGGTATTTAGCACATTTACGATGCTGTGCAAAACACTTTCCTTGCCCCAGAAGGAGACTCCGTACTCATTAAGCAGTGCTTCCCCAGGCCCTCCTCTCTCCAGTGCTCTGAAATCTGTCTTCTGTCTCTCTGGATTTACCCATTCTGGATATCACATGTTCGTGGAATTGGGCCTTACATGCTTTTTGTTCTGTCTTCTTTCACTGACAATGTTTTCAATCTTTTTTGGGGGGATTGGGTCTTGGTAAATTGCTAAGGCTGGACTTGAACTTGCAAACCTCCTGCCTCAGCTTCCCAGAGTGCTGGGATCACAGGTATCTGCCACAAATGCTTGGTGAGGTGATCTTCTTAATTAACTGTTCTGTAGCTGGATTTGGGGATGCAGGGGTATCTTCAGAGGGTTCACTGGGGATGGGCCAGTCTCAGAACACAGCCCAGCAGCGTGGTCAGGCACCACCCTGGACACCAAGCAGAAACCAACCACAGCTTGGCTGCTTGTTGCTGGCCTTGGAGCCAAGAACTGAAACTTCCTGGGTTGGGTTCCTCGAAAATGGGAGGAAAGTCCTTTGTCCTGAGATGGTGCTGAGGACCAGCAAGACTGCTGTGTGCGTTCCGTGTCACCTAACACTGGAACCGCACCCCAACTCCAGAGGCGGTTCCTCGGAGAAGCCCCTCTCCTCACTCCTGACCTGAGAAGGCTTCTGAATAAATCCCAGGCTGCGGGGGAGGGGGAGGCTTAGCAGGGGCCCGGTGGAACCGCTGCTCTGGGCTGCCTCTCCCGCTGCCCCAGCCCTGGGCCCCTCATGCGGCCTCTGTCCCTGCACCTCCTCATTGCTCCATCTTTGTCTCCGTGCTCTTTTTCGCCTGCGCCCCAGCTCCCTGACCTCCCCTTCCCCAGGGCGGCTCCGCGCGGGCCTCACCTGCAGTGCACAACTGGCCGGCCTCCCTCCGAGGTCTCGTCCAGCCACTGCCTCAGCACCCTCCAGAAAGCCAGCAAGGGGTCTGGGGAGGGCGGCACGCCGTGGTCTGGCCAGGCCAGGTAGTGGAACTGCCGCACAGGCAGAGTCTTCTGCTCCTCCGTCTGGAAGGAGAGAGACTGTGGGCGGGGAGACTGGGGGCCTCCCCGGAGTGCTGGCGGGGGACACTCACGTGGAGCAGCTGCAGGTCCCGCACCGCCCAGTCCTCTGTCACCTCCTCGCCTACCAGGGCCACCTGCAGGTGCCCATGGATGCAGGGCTGGGCGTCCAGAGGCCAGTAGTGCTCACACTTCACCTGGGGAGGACATGGCAGTCAGGAAGAGCCTTGCCGGGGGCGCTCCTGCTCCGGGTGTGGGGACCCCTGCCCTGGCCATGGGTGGGGCCCTTGGGCGGCCAGGGGCTGATTCCTGCCAGCTGCGAAGAGCTCTCCACCCTGAGTGGGGCAGCTCCAGCCCTGCTGTAGCTGTGCGTCCCTGGACGTCCATGTGCTGGAAATGTCACCCCAAACTCTGATGTAGGGCCGGGGATTTAGCTCAGTGGTTCTGCTGCCTGCCTTCCAAGCACAAGGATCTGAGTTCGATCCCCGGTACCAAAAAACAAACAAACAAAAAAAACCCCAAACTCCTATGTTAGTGGCATCTGGAGGTGGGGCCTTTGGGAAGTATCTGGGATTCAATGAGGCCATAAGGGGGGTGCCGTGGTGGCATCTGTGGCTTTATAAGAACAGGAAGAGAGCCCTGAGTTTGCAGCTGGCTCTGTCTCGCCGGGTGACGCCTCCACCAGTGTGACACAGACAGCTGTCCTGGGCCCAGCACCTTCGTAACAGACTCCTCAGCCTGCAGAATGTGAGCTAAACAAACCTTGCCAGAATCCAGCGACAGTAACAGACCAGGCGATGACCTCCCAGCAGGCAGAGAGCCTGCACTTGTGTGTGTGTGTGTGTGTGTGTGTGACCGGGGGAAGACGGTGTGCTCTCACTGTCCTGGTGGGGTCGGGCCCTGCTCAGGCCACAGCCCCAGGACCAGGCCCACGCTCACCCGGCCAGACTCCACACAGTTGGTGAGCATCACAATCGTGCGGCTCTGCTGCTCCCACACCAGGCGCCAGAAGTCACCCACGGTCCGCAGCAGGGGGCCCTGGGCCGCGATGAAGTCCTGGGGGCTCCAGAGGCCCTGGTTGAGGCAGGTGGGCATGTGGGGGTCGCGGATATGCCCTCCGGCCCCCGTGTCCCCAGGCGCACAGCTTGCTCAGCCCGACCCCGACCTTACAGGGATGAAGCTGGCGTTGATGTAGTCAGAGCCGGGCTCATCACGGAGCGGCTGCAGGGGCACCCGGGACCAGTCATCTGGGAGGAGCCATGCAGAGAGGGTGAGGGACGAGCTAGGCCGGAAGTCACGGCCACATGCGAGGGACACGGGAGCCGTGAGGGACTGAGAGGGGCAGGGGACCTGTGCAGGGTGGGGGCAGGAGCGAGAGGGACAGGAGCGAGAGGGACAGGAGCGGCGCAGTGCGGAGCTGGGACTCACAGGGCGGAGCTGGGACTCACAGGGCAGCACGTTTCTGTAGCGGTTCTTGGCCTTGTTCTCAGGAGCCAAGGCAACCTCCTGAGGCTGGCCCTCGCCCTCCAGGCACAGTTGCTGTGGAGAGCAGAGGCTGTGGCGAGCTGGCTCTGTCACCCTGAGCACCTCAGCACCGCCCCCTCTGCACTTGGGGTTCTGCAGCACCCACGGAAGTAGAAGACCCCAGCCGCCACCCTGTGGAGCATTTGAGGGCGCCTGGGGCCGCTGGAGACAAACAGAGAACAGGAGCCGGGGACCCAAGCAGCAAGCATGCACTAAGGTGCAGATGAGCTGGAGAGGGCGCACTCGGGGACTGCTGCCTGGGGCACAGCGTGGTTGTGCTTTGCTCCACCCGAAGGTGCAGGAAGGAGGCACGCACCGGGCCGGGCGCCCACCTGGTACTCATCTGCAAAGCCGCAGTTGCTGTCCTTCTCGTTTCGCCGGACGTGGTCAGTGAAGTCTTTGGCCAGGATGTCCCCTGGGAAGCTGTGTGGGAGAAGGGGAGAGAAAAGATTGCGACTCCTTAGCCCTGTGCTCTTGGGGTAAGAGGAAAGGCAAATCTGACCCAGCAAGGCCACTTCGGGGCGTACACCCCAAAGAAATGAAAGAGGGGCTCAGTGAGGTGCTTGTGCACCTGTGGTCTTCATAGTGTCCTTCACAACAGCCCCAAGGGGAAAGCAACCCAAGCCTCCAATGACAGGTAATTGAATAAAGAAAATATGATGCATCCACACAGTGGAATATTACTCAGCTATAAAGAGGAAGGAAATCCTGACACCACTGTGCTAAGCGAGCTAAGCTGGTCCCCACACACTAAATGATGTACAATTCCACTTACTTGAAGGACTTCTGGGAATCAAATTCAAAAGACAGAAAGGAAAGTGGTGGTTGCCAGGAAGAAGGAGATTATTATCTAATGGACAGTTTTATCAGTGTCACCTGCACAGCGACATGCTTAACCCTGCTGAGTGGCAAACTCTAAGGTGGTTCAGGGGCTGGGCTTGACTTGTGATCCTCCTGCCTCAGCCTCCTGAATAGCTGGAGTTATAAGTGTGTGTGCCATGGCATTTGGTTATAATTTAAGAGATGCTCTGTCCTCTCCCTCTGCCTTCAGCCTGGAGGGTGCTGCACTCCCTCCCCTGAGCCCGCTGCTGCTCTATCCCTCCCTCTGCTGCGTGTCTCAGTGCTGGGCACAGGCCAGGGCCCAGCCACTTCCCTCTGAGTGGCCGATTATACTCACAGCCCCACTAATGGGGCTCCCACACCCTGGGCTGCTGTGCCCCTGCCCCCTCGCCCTGGCCAGACACCGGACACCAAGTCCCCAGCACCTCTCCAACCCGGGGACCTGCCTCGCAGTTTGCTCCACAGGAACTGTGTGAAGCCTCTGGCCCATGGCTTTCTGCTTCTGCTTCTTCCGGTTCCTGGAAGGATGTTGGGAGGTGAGGCGCAAGCACCAGGCCTCGGTGCACCCACACCCTGTAGGCGGCCAGTCCCGCACGAGTCTCACCTCTTCTTCAGGAACAAAACCAGCAGGCCCGCAAGGACGAGGCACAGGAGGACGCCCACAACGGCTCCAACGATGACCCCTGGGGAGGAGCCGGGCAGCCCTTAGAGCCCAGCCTGGCCTCCTGGCCTGGGTCCACCCTCACCAGCCCCGTATATGAAGTGACAGGAAGGACAGGAAACCCTCTGGACAAAGCCCTGTCTCCTCTGTGGGTCCCCAGGAGTTTGATCTGAATGGCAAGTGGCTACAGTGGCTCCCTCTTCCTCGGCCTGGACAGCGGTTCTTGGTCCCCGGTCTCAGGGGGGACTCCAGCCCACGGCCTATCTCCGTCAGCCATGGAGGCCCTGGCTGCTCAGGGAGGCTGCCACTCAGCAGGCCCCAGCAGGGCCCCAAGCCTGCATGTGGACTCGTCTCCTCACAGACTCATCCTACACAATGGGGCAAGACGGTCCTCTCAGGGACCTCGTGGCTACGAGACAGAGATGCTCCCAGGCCATGGAGCCTGCAAAGCCCAGTGTGCATCCAGCCTCTCCACTGGGACCCAGTGTTCCGAGAGGATCCAATTCTTGGGAAGGGATGAATGGGGCAAAGTGAGGTCTACAGCCAAGGTACATGGTCAGAACTTTCCAAAGTCAAGTTCCAACCTTCTTCAAGTATCTCATTGGTAAAGGGTGCAGCCACATTTGGTAAAAATCGAGCAGTCAAACAGCCAGAGTTACCATATGACCCAGCAATTCTACCCTTGTGTATATGCCCAAGAAAAACAAAAACATGTTCACACAAAAACTTCCACACAAATGTTCACATCAGCATTAATCATAACAGCCCCAAAGTGGAAATGATTCCACTAATTTGTCAACTGATGAATGGATAAATAAAATGTGGTATATCCACACAACAGAATATTACTCTGCAGTAAAAAGGAAGGAAGTACTTATTCATGAAATTAGACTGTCCAGGGAAGGGGGATGGGAATGGGGAATTAAGGAGTGATGGCAAAAAGGTATGGAGTAATGAAAATGCTCTAAAAGTGATAGTGGTGGCCCAGGGATTTAGCTCAGTGGTTCCACCATCTGCCTCGCAAGTGCAAGGACCTGAGTTCGATCCCTGGTACCAAAAAAAAAAAAAAAGTGACAGTGGTGACGGTTGCAGTGTTGTGAATGTACTAAAGGTCATGGAATTGTACCATTGACCGCTGACGTGGGGGGATTCCCAAGCTGAATTAATCACTGGGTGTGGCAAATGTGTTAAGTGCTGAATGGTATGTCTTATGTACTATGTCTCCGAAAGCTGTCTTAAGGCAAACAGACCCCCAAAGGCCCCCAGAGACACCCTCCCGAAAGGGCTGCCAGCTTTCCCTGTGCATGGCCCTGCCCTGGGCTCTGCTCACCAATACTCTCAGTGTAGCAGGTCACTGGGGCGGACTTGGCCTTCAGCCCGCTCCAGATGGTCGTGACAGTGGCTGTGTAGGACCGGGCAGGCCCAAGGCCCTGCACGAACACGCGGCTCCCGCAGGAAGATCTGTCTTGGGAGCCCCGCTGCCCGCCCACCTCCAACTCAAAGGCCTCGTAGCCTCCAGAGGGGCAGGACCAGTTCAGGAAGAGCCCGTAGCCCCCAGAGGCACTGATGCAGGATGCAATGCTGACAGAGTCTGGAGCTGGGGACAGGACAGAGGAGTCAGCAGGAGCCCCTGCCCCACCAGTCCCCCAGACGATGGTGCCTCCTTTCCCTCACCTTCTGTTCCCCCAAAGGGACAGGAATACTCTCACACTAAACTCCAGGACTGTACGGCTCTGTGTCCAGGCCGCTGAGGAAGTGCCAGCCCCATGGTCTGATGGGATTTGTAGTCCACCCAGGAGCCCCTGGCCTCATGGCCTGATGGGATGTGTGGTTCACCTGGGAGGCCCAGTATGCCAGGTACAGGGAGTAGGGGTCTCACCTGTGGATGCCTGGAAGCTCTCCATGGAGCTGGCCACCTTGTGCCTCTCGGCGCACACTCTGAAGGTGTACAGAGTGCCAGGACTGAGGGCCTCCACCACATACCACGTCTCCTCTGTCCTGCCGGTGGAGTCGGTCCCAGCCTCTGGGGGCTGTGCCTCGCTGGCCCACTGGATCCGGTAGGTGTAAAGCTGTGAATGGGGGTCTGCAGGGGCCGCCCAGCTCAGCGAGACTGAGGTGCTGGTCTCACTTGTGTTCTGAAGATGTGTGACCGCATTGGGAGCTGGAAGGTGAGGCACAGCACAAGGGCGATGTCCCCAGAGGACCTCCCCCTGATAGCAAAGCCAAGCGGCCCCGTTATCAGAGCTCTGGCGGTGAGGAGGAGCCACGAAGAGCCTAGAAACTCAGGCCTTGTGGGGATCAGGGTGGTCGGAGCTCTCTCTGGCCCCTGGGCCTCGCCCATCCCCTTCCTGTTCTCTCCAAAAGAGCACATGTCCCCTCCAACTGCAGCCATGGGAGCCTCACTCTCTGTATCCTTGCTGCTTGTGAGGCTCTGAGACCTAGGCATTATGGGATTTGTAGTCCATTCAACTCCCATCCCACAGAGCCCACCCTCTAATCACCTCTCCCATCCCCTTTCCTAGACACACCAAGTCGCTAGAGCAGCTCCCAATCTGAGTCTCCTCACCCAAGAAGGCCAAGGGTGGAAGATGGCCAGGTCCTGTGCATCCACAGCCAAGCTGGTCTCCAGAGAAATTTTGATTCTGCTTGTACCTGTGACCCTCATGTGTGGGCTGAGAGGTGAGGCCTCTGGGCTCCTCTAACTCAGTGGAGCCAGCTGCTGACCACGGTCCCTCTGGTGAGTTTGTCAGTGTCTGGCAGGTGGTAGTGGCTCTCCTGACCCCAAATGGTACATTTCCCAAGGACAGAAGAGACCGCCCCATAGTTTTGAAATCCCTGCCTGCTAAAGAATGACAACTCGCCAGAGCAGGACATAGGAGTCCAAACTCCACTGAGGATTGGCGGGACCACCAAGCCCTCTTCATCCCCATCAATCTCCCAAAGTCCCCCTGTTCTTTCCCTTCCCTCATTCCGGTAGGGCTGTGACCAGAGCAGGACTGTGTCGCCCTGGTCCCCAGGTGAGGGCGCTGGTCCCACACTGGCTGCATTCCTCCCCGCCCCGCCCCCAGCACCTCCAGCGCGACTCTGGTGTCTGCAGGGCTTTGGGTCCCAGTGGTGGTACAGCCTCCCAATCCCGTGATGCCAGTAGGTGCCGATGGGTGCCTGGGCCCGGTGGAGCTGTCCAGCCCCGAGTGATGGAGCCCTTGGGCTGGCGTTAGGAACTGGTAAAAGGAGTAGGGTCAGGATTTCCAGGACACCATGATGGGAACCCGCCTTGTGTAGCCCGGTGGCCTGAAGCCTCTTAGCAACAGAATCTAGAGTGGCCAGGGCTCCCGAGGCCATGCTCGGTGGCAAGGGCACAGCCCGGCTCTCCTGTTTGGGGCACAACCAGCCCCCAGGTGTGTGTGTGTTGGGAGGAGGCTGTTCTGGCTCAGGGGCAGAGGAGACTGAATTAAACAGCTGGAGCCCAGCCCCAGCAGAGGTTCCCTCTGCCAGCTAATTCTTCACCAAACAGGAAGTGGGCGTTGACCTGTGAGGCCCCCAACTTGCTGCCTGGGGCTGAGGATCCCCTTCTCTGTCCCTGCAGGGAGAATCTACAAGATCCTGGGTTCAACTGCTTGGGCTTCAGGCCTCACTTTGTCACCCTCTCCAGCACACTGCACCCAATAGGCCTCCTAAAGGTCTGAGCCATCTGGGGTGATGGAGTTGTTGGTCTGACCCCCCAAAGGCAGGCTTCTAACTTGCTTAGGGGCTAAAATTAGGAAGAAACCAAAATGAGCAGGGGTGGAGACTGAAGAGCAGCGGTCAGGGGACACTGTGGTCATCAGCATTTCCAGTTCCTGGTCAGCTGGTGCCCTAGAACCGCAGGGCACTACCAAGCACCCACCTCACTGAGCGGTGGGGAAATGCGAGTTCCCAGTCAGCATGGAAATGGGCCTCCATGTTTGCGGCCAACTCTGGGGATGCCAGGGCTGCTCACCCAAGCGCCATGCTTGAGTCAAGCCTGTCTGAATATCCTTGCCTCCTCGGAATTCACACAGAGACCTAATTCTCAACATGATTGTAGTAAAAGGTAGAGGCTTTGGGAGGTAATTAGGTCATGAAGTTAGAGCCCTCCTGACTGCAATTAGTGCCCTTCAAAAACAAGCCCACGAGGGCCAGGGATTTAGCTCAGTGGTTTCGCTGACTGCTGCACAAGTGCAAGGACACCCAAGTTCGATCCCCGGTAAAAAAAAAAAAAAAAAGCCCACGGATAGATTTTTAAAATGGCAGAATAGAAGTACCCCTCACAGGCTGAGGCAGAAGGTTCAAGTTCAAGCCTATCCTGGGCAATTTAGTGACAAGACCATGTCTCAAAATGAAAAATTAAAAAAAGGCTGGGAAAGATGTATATCAGTACAAAGGCCCTGGGTTCAATTCCCACTAACAAAAATTAAAATATTCTAACTGGGTGTGGTTGCGCACGCCTGTCATCCCAGCATTCAGGAGGCTGAGGCAGGACGATCGCTGTGGGTTCAAAGCCAGCCTGAACAACATAGCGGGACTCTCTCTCTCAAAAAAAAATCCTTTGCTTAACTGTGAGTGACAAGATTGAGAGTTAAAAAGGAGAAACTACAATGATAAACGTAAATGTATTGTATACCTAAAATGTACCAATAAAAGAATTTAAGGGGAAAAAAAGGAGAAACTAGAAGAGCAGAAGAGCTCCGCGAATCAAGAAAGATGACAGGAGGGCTGGGGATTTAGCTCAGTGGTTTCGCCGCCTGCTGCGCAAGCTCAAGGACCCGAGTTCGATCCCCGGCACCAAAAAAAAAAAAAGAAAGGTGACAGGAAAGCTAAAAAGCACTAGAGACAGCTAATGCAAGAGAAAGGTGTGAAGCGGTCCGCGCTGTCTCCCCAGGGGCAGAAGGGGACAGGAACCGAGGCTGGATCTGCGAAGAAATCCACAGTGGTGCTCCACGTAACTGAGGGTGGAGCGCGTGGAGCCAGAAGCCCCCGTGACCCGACGGGCTTCCAGGGCTCAGCCACTCCCAGGCTCGCCAGTCCCGGAACAACCACACTTCACCTTGGCTGGCTGGGAGGCAGGAGCAGAGTTAGCTGCAGACCCTCTGGGAATGTCAGCAGGGGGCGCCCGGGCTGCGGAGGGCAGGTGCAGATGGCACCCCACGGCCGGCAGGCTGAGACTCATCCGCGCGGTCCTCTGAAGGGCTGGGTCTGAAAGTGCCCGGATGAGCCGTGGGGGAAGCTCGGCTCCAGTCTCCAACCCCGTCAGGCACGGAACTAGTGGTCGGTTTGCTTTCCCTGCTGTCCAATTTGTTCAGGGATACACCTCTGCTTAGACATTTGCCCCATCCATGGCCAGGGCGCAGGGGCCTCCGGAGCAAGCCGGCACCTCCTCAGCACCCAAGCTGCAGAGGTAGCTCAGGATAGCAGAGGTGGTGGGTGTGCAGAAGGAAATAAACACCATAAAGGGCTCTGGTGTGAACATAGCCCTGAGGGGACACAGCTGTCACTGACCAGCCTCGCCCCATGGGAAAGGCGGGGCTCAGCATTCACACAGCCTGTCAGGAGGGCGTGGACGGGAAATACATAGGCCCCAGCAGTGGCCCTGTACCTGGGAATTCCACGATTACAGATGGGGAAAGAAACTATCAGCCCAAACACAGTGGCAAGGAGGAAGTTTTTCACTCCTTTTCTTTTCTTTCAATTTGTTGTTCCTTCCTCTTTTATCTAATTTTATTTACTTTATTTGTATTTTTAATTTCTCACTCTTTTCTCCTCTTTCTCATCTTCCTTTTCCTTTTGTTAAAAATCTTGCTTTTTCTTCCACTTCTCCTTTCCCTTCTCCTTCTATTTTATTTTTTTATTTTTTGGTTCTGGGAATCAAGCTCAGGACCTTGCGCTTGAGAGGCAGGCACTGGAACCACTGAGCTAAATCCCCGGCCGCCCCTATTTTTATATTATTACTTTATTATTATT